TACAATAATCGATCGTCAAAGCTTGCACACACGCTTAAATCTCATCAAGGATTTGACAGGAATCCATTTTAGAATGTCAAGTTAAATCTTTAGGGATTACTGAAGAAAAAGAATATTCATCATGCTGCTGCCTGGATTCCGACATTGTTCCTATATTCTGCCGGTTTGCTCTTCAACCTGCTGAAGTTCTTCACATTTTTATAATAGCGGCGGGAAGTTGCTTGAAAAGACAATAAAGTGTTTTTGTTTTTTGTACCCAAAAAAAAAAAAGTGTTTTGGTTTTGCGCCGTTCTAGGGTTTTTGTGCTTTGGCATAATTTGTAATGCATATACTATGTACTAAGTAATAACTAACCCTGGTTCCAATGACTGGGTTTAAACACCGTACAGATATAACTAGGTATTAGACCCGTCCGTTGGATGGGGAGGTCATACATATACAGATATTACAACACAAGCGAAGCAAAAGAATATTAATAATTTTATGGATTTGATATTTTCATAAAATGTTAACTATGAAATGTATAATAACTTTATTGAAAAATATAAAACACAAACATCAACAACACCTTACTAAGAGTTATTAAACTGTAACCATTGAGTCCATATAGGTAGGTGCACTTAATGTGAAAACACGTGCAGCCCATCTCCTCTTCTTTAGCTCATCCCAATTTTTTTCAACATGAAACACACGCACCTCAGTTCCTTAATTTTAGGAAACGGGTTTCAATTTTTTTTTTCAAATCTTCAAATAATTTTATTTCTTAAATCGTAAAGAATTAGACAAAATGTCTTATATCATTTTGATAGTGCTTGATGAGATCTATCCAACAAGATCCATCATAAATATGTTTTTCAAAATTTTAAAAAAATTATGCAGTTGCCTTGATCTTTCTAAAGGACGTTCTGGTCTTACTTGTGTGTTTTAGGAACAAGACATGGAACAAAGGCCAAAGACCAAAGGCCAAAGACCAAAAATCGAACACCAAAGAGTAAAGAGCAAAGACCAAAGACCAAACATCGAAGACCAAAAAATCAAAGACCAAAGATCAGAGTGAAGAGCGAGCGTATGTGAAAAACAAAGACCAAAGACAAAAAATCGAAGACTAAAGATCAAAGACCAAAGACTAGAGTGAAGAACGAGCGTGTGTGAGGAACAAAGACCAAATGACCAAAGGCCAAAGTTAATTGGTTTAAAAAACACAAACTTGTCCCTAACCGACACAAAAATGCTTAAACTTCTCTAAATCCTAAACCCTAAACAACTAGACCCTAACCGACACGGAAATGGTCAAACCCCCCTAAACCCCAAAACATATTATTTTTTTTGGGTTTAAATTTTTTTAAACCGATTAGGCTAGGGTTAATTGTGTTATGACACAAACTAGGCCGTAACCGACACGAAAATGCTTAAACCCCCCTAAATCCTAAACCCTAAACAATTAGACCCTAACCGACATAAAAATGTCAAACTCCCCTAAACCCTAAACATACTAATTTTTTTTTGTGTTTAATTTTTTTTAAACCAATTAGGCTAGAGTATCGTTTAAGGTTAATCGTGTTATGGCACAAACTATACCTTAACCGACACGGAAATGCTTAAACCCCCTAAACCCTAAACCCTAAACAGCTAGACCCTAACCGACACAAAAATGGTCAAACCTGCCTATACCCTAAACATACTTATTTCTTTTTTTGGGTTTAAATTTTTTTAAACCAATTAGGCTAAACGAGACCCTAGCCTAATTGGTTTAAAAAAATTTATAAGGTTAATCGTGTTACGGCACAAACTTGGCCCTAACCGACACAAAAATGCTTAAACCCCCTAAACCCTAAACATTAAACAACTAGACTCTAACCGACACGGAAATGGTCAAACCCTCCTAAACCCTAAACATACTATGTTTTTTAGGTTTAAATTTTTTTAAACCAATTAGGCTAGGGTTAATCGTGTTACGGCACAAACTAGGCCCTAACCGACAAGGAAATGTTTAAACCCCCCTAAACCCTAAACCCTAAAAAACTAGACCCTAACCGACACAAAATATCAAACCCCCTTAAACCCTAGACATACTAATTTTATTTTTTGTGTTTAAATTTTTTTAAACTAATTAGGCTAAGGTCTCGTTTAAGGTTAATCGTGTTACGACACAAACTAGGCCTTAACCGACACGGAAATGCTTAAACCCCCCTAAACCCTAAACCCTAAACAACTAGATCCTAACCGACATAAAAATGGCTAAACCCCCTATACCCTAAACATACTAATTTTTTTTTTCGGGGTTTAAATTGTTTTAAATCAATTAGGCTAAACGAGACCCTAACCTAATTGGTTTAAAAAAATTTATAAGGTTAATCGTGTTACGGCACAAACTTGGTCCTAAGCGACACAAAAATGCTTAAACCCCCTAAACCCTAAACATTAAACAACTAGACCCTAACCGACACGGAAATGGTCAAATCCCCCTAAACCCTAAACATACTAATTTTTTTTTTGGGTTTAAATTTTTTTAACCAATTAGGCTAGTGTTAATCGTGTTACAACATAGATTAGGCCCTAACTGACACGGAAATACTTAAACCCCCTAAACCCTAAACCTTAAACAACTAGACCCTAACCCGTCTTTGGTCTTTGCTCGCTAATCATTGGCCTTTCGTCTTCAATCATTGCTCCTTACTATGGTCTCTAAGTCTTTGGTATTTGGTCTTTCATTTTTGGTATTTAGCCTTTGATCTTTGATCCTTGGTCCATACTACTCACCGGTTTCAGGAAGATAAAGGGAAACACATGAAAGTCAAGACTTATAGCAACAAATAAAAAAACCAAATTGTTTGCACAAAACACTTAGGAACAACATTTTCATCACTTATGAGGTGCTTTATTCCTTATCTCAAAGTGATTTTTAATAAAGCAACATATAATTAGGCATGACTAAAAACTGGACACGTCAAATATAATCACACAAAATTTAAATAGAAATTATAAAATAGGAAAACAAAATATTCTACTTCCTCCGTCCACAAAAGTAGTCCACATACTTTTTCTTTTTCTTTTTCTCTTCAGTTCCGTCCTATAAAAATAGTTCACATTGAGTTTTGAGTTTTATACTATTTTTAGTATAAATTTGAAAACTCAATGTGGAGTATTTTTGTGAGACAAAGGTAGTATTAATTTACAAACATGTACAAACATGTTTTGCGTCTTTTAAATTGAAATATGCAGTACTTATTATTAATACAAACATGTTTTGCGTCTTTTAAATTGAAATATGCAGTTCTTATTATTAATAAAAGTGTAATTAGAGTAGAGGCTAGTGTCGGTTACTCTTTTTGCCCAATTCTATATACAGTAATTCTGTTTGCTATTTGGAACAACCAGACGCACTACATGAAATACAATTTTTAATTAATGATGATGATGCAAAACATGCTCCAAATGAGCATTCCCTTTGTGCAAGAATTAGATTGCACCGTTCTTCTCCTCATCAACTAAGCATGAAAGATTTAAAATTTAAAAGACAAACTATAACTAATTCAAACGATAAGGCATTATATACTCGAAGATCATCTTTGTTTCTATTTAGTTCAGCATCAATTCCCTTCTTTGGCTTGTATAGTTATTGCTTATTGATAGTGAGATCAACCCAACAATTGGAATGGCGGATCAGGATCGAGAGCATATTCCTCTTCATTCTCTGTCATAAAAGAAGTTATGTAATGCGGTTGTGCCCAAGATTGTAAAACACTCCATTTTTTGGTATCCAAGGCTACCTTATGAAATTTTGGTAACAATAATAGGAGTATAATATTGGGCTAAGTACCAAGTATCCACAAAAAAAAGGTATAATTCAATTATCAACTGAAATTTCCCGTGAACAATTAATCCAAATCATATGAAATCATTTATGTCAGGAGTTGGAAAAATCAAGTTCCAGGTTCTCCTGCTTTAACTATGGACTATGGAAATTAATTATTAGCAAAATCGTCACAAACACCAGCTTATATAAATCCATTGCGTCCCTCAAAAATAATACATATATATATATATATATATATATATATATATATATCACCTTACATTGTAAAAATAAAAATCCCGAATCTAACTGAAAGTAATTAAACTCCGTTAAACCTGATTAACCACATTAGCAAAATCCGTAAAGCTCTACACTATGATACTTACATCAGAAAAATCCAACGTAAGCAAAATGTCAATTTGACTGCCACCAGTGGGAGACAATGTATGAACGAACTACATTTGTGCAAACTGGAAAAAGATATATGCATCGAAAGTTGAAGAATAACACCACACAAAGGATTGGAGTTCCTGCGAATAGCAATCCAACTACCAGTGGTTCAAGGCTTCCAGTGGTAACATATCCTAAGAAAAAAGTCAAACCTAAACTAAGCAAATCTATACTACCTATATGGAAAATGGTAAAATAGCATATGAGACTTTGATCCCAATTTCGAGTTTCAACTCTGCTTCGATGAAGGCCGAGAATTCCCCTGCTATGAGTCAACATCAGAGTATTAATAAAATATTAAGTTTCAGAGAATAGTTCTAGTAGACTTTTCTCACGGCTGCATTGTAATTTTTTAATTATTGTTATGGATTTTTTTTCCCCGAGGCTTCCTTTTGGCTTTTATTCCGGTCAGCTTTCTGGTTTTTCGGCTACTCACTTTAAAACCACATTCCAAAAACTAAAACAATTATCAAATCCTAAACTCAATTAAAAATTACAAAAAAATAACAAATCTGAATCCATGCACGAATCCAAGTCACACATGCAATCAAATTTCTACGCAGATGGCAACTGAACCCTACTGGGAATAGATCAAGTTGCCTCTAATTATTCCCTATAAATATGATATGAGCGAGGGTATGTATTTCAACTTCACATCGATCCCAGCTAATAGCTTTTCTTTCTCTTCTCGAAATTCTTCAAAGCGTATCCAGCTTCCTTTGAGTTTATAAAATCACCACTCTTCAATAGTTCCATGGCTAGTCGTATACCGAGATTGCTACAAACATTTCCAATCCCGAGTGCATCTGGACCCGAGAGTATTGCGTTCGACCCAACCGGCAATGGTCCTTACACCGGTGTTTCTGATGGGCGGATTCTAAAGTGGGAACCCATCCAAAATCGATGGATTACTTTTGCCTGGACAGTTCCAGTTCGGGACAGGTGCGAAGGCCCACATAATCATACCCAAACCGAGGCAAGATGTGGTCGTCCGTTAGGCCTCGATTTTTACAAAAAAACGGGCGAACTCTACATTGCTGATGCCTACAGAGGTTTACTCGTAGTTGGCCGTAATGGAGGACTCGCTACGCAAGTAGCAACGTCGGCACAGGGGCGTCCTTTTCGACTGACAAATGATGTCGTCGTCGATCAAACAAATGGCTTGGTGTACTTTACTGACAGCAGCACAATGTTTGCAAGAAAAGATTATGGGACTATAATCTCCACCAGAGATAATACGGGAAGATTGATGGTATATGATCCGAGAACAAGAGTGGTGAGAGTTCTCGCAAGTGGGCTGATGTTTCCAAATGGGGTGGCACTCAGTCAACGCGGTGATTTCATTCTAGTGACGGAAACTACTAATGGCAGAGTGTTAAGATATTGGCTTCGATCAGGACGGGGGAAATCTGCCGGGACAATTGAGCTATTTGCCCAGCTTCCTGGGAATCCCGACAATATCAGAAAGAACCAAAATGGTGACTTTTGGGTTGCCATGAACTCAAGAGGAACCCCAAACTTTAGCGGATTAGGGATGGTGGCCAAGTTAGATCAAAATGGAAGAATGGTTCAACCTTTGATTGATCCTACTGGTGTAATTTGGAGGCATGCCAGTCATGTCCATGAAGAGCGTGGATCCTTGTGGATTGGTTCGGTGGTGGAATCCGCTATAGTGAGATTGAGAATTTAAAATATGATTTTTTGTGCATAGAGTATTAGGAATGACATTCTAGATTTACAATAATACTTAAATTGATTTTTAATGCATTTGTAATTTTTTTGGTTAGTTTTTTATTTATATTATATAATTTCAGAATCTCAAATTTGATTGTTTTAGCATATTAGCTCTAGACAGCTTTATTTTCTTTGCTCTTTAAATATTAAGAACAAAGAAGATTGTTTTAAAGGAAAAAAAAACAGCCGTCACTGCCGGCATTGTTTCATTAATCTCAGCACCGCTGCGATTTCTTAAGATGGAAATAATGTAAGCTTTATACTTCAATTTTGTCCCCCAGTTCACTCAAACCACCGAGGGGTGCTTGACTTTAGGGTGGCTCAGACCCAAACTCGTGGAAAAAAATATGTCTACAGTTTGAAAATTAGATATTTCTAATCTTCTCGCGCTTTAAAAATACGAAACAAAAAAATTAAATTAAAACTTCGCGTTTTTGAAACGCGAATCTTGTTAATTATTTTTTCCAAAAATTGATCCCGGAAAAAGAAAGAAAAAAAGTGGAATTAAAAAAGGGAAACCACAAATTGCGTTTTGAAAACGCGAATATGTATTTCGCGTCTCAAAAACGCGAACAAAGCTTTAGTGTTTTAAAAACACGAAAAGCTATAATTTTAAAATAATTTTTTTTTAATTTTTAGACTTCATTCTAGATAATATATAAATTCACAAAGCTGTGACAATTTAGCATTTTGAAAACGCAAAAAAAAAAAATATTTTAACGTTTTGAAAACGTGAAAATATCCAGAAAATCTCCTTAATTACTCATTCGGCTCCACGTGTATTTTGCTTATAAGTCTTGAATGTATTCGCGTTTTGTACCCGCGAAATTTAAGATTCACATACCAAACCAAGTAAAATACCAGCATTTCTTCCCAAACCCACATTTTTTCGTTCTGTCGAGCATTGATTTTGAGTTTCACTCCGGAGGACTTGGCTGAATTCGGGAAAGCTCTCATTTCTTTCAAATTGAGAATTTGCTCCGAAGTTAAAGAAGATTGATTTGAGTCCTGAAGTCTATTTCAAACCCAAAGTTTCAACATTCAAGTAATTTTTTTTCGTTATAGAAAACATGTACTTTTTATGCCTTATTGTGAGCATAGGATGATTTACGCATTATTATTAACTAATAAATAATTAATATTTATTCAATTAACGATGGATTTTTAATTAGGCTGATAAAGTGAATTGAAAGAAATATTAGTTAATAGAATGTTAAATTAGATGAGCTTTGTAAATTATTGTATATCGATTTCTGTAAAATAAAATAAAATTATAATATTGATATTGAATTTTTGAATATTTTTAGCATAAGAATAAATTATTTAATTCGGGTACAAGGTTTAGATTTAATATTAATTTAACTTCTTTGATTGTAAAATTTGTAAAATACCATCGAAGATTGTGTGTGCTGTTGTTAAATTAGATGATTCTTGAAATTTATTGTATATTGGTTTCTGAAAAAGTTTATAATACCCAGATTGAGTTTTTAAAATATTTTTAGCGTAGAAATGAATTATTAAATTTAGGCGTATAGTTCTTTTGAAATTATTAAATCTGTAAACGAGGTAAATACTATTTCGGCAAAACTAAAATTCAAAATGTATTTATGTTGAATCTAGTGTTCTGATTTCGTAGGAATTGATTTTGCAGGCCGTAAATGTCTTTCACTGAGACAGTTCGTCTGAAAGTATACTAGAATATTACTCATACAACTGAACCTGATGGGATTATCACGGTACAGCGGGATGTGCCGGACAGTTATCTTATTATTGATGGTATGTTAAACTTGTTGATCAGGTATGTGGTGTGATGGAAGTTGATAGAGAAGGGCTGTATATTGATTTTTCTTTGGTATAGACGGAGAGGTAAGGGAAAAGGTCTCGTGTGCACATTAATGATGATAATACTGTACGGTTCCTTTATCTTTGTGCTGATAAATGGCCGGAATTGTACCCTGAAAATGTTGAGAGAATAGGGCATGTTTATGCAAGTATATTTGGCCAGGATATTGGTGCTGGCGCTAGTGGTGGTAGAACAGTTGAAGACAATGAAGATGGAGATGAAGATGAAGATGAAGATGGCGGGGGTGTTGAAAGCAGTGACGATGAGTACATCTCATCGGATGAGGACTCAGATGACGACACTGATTTTGATTCATCTTCTTCAGTATCATATGTTTTCGACGACATCAGTGGATAGGACAAGACTTTAGAGGAAGAAGATTCTATTGGGATAAAAATGTGGGATGGCAATGTGATGACGGTTGACCTTGATGTACATTTCACCAACAAGCTTGAGGCACAGGCGGCAGTGGGAGAATGGAAATTGCGACATGGTCGGACTTTCCGTGTGAAAACTAGCTCTAAACGAACATGGTATGTCGAATGCGAAACCTGTGGGCCCAAATATCCGAAAGAGCGTCTTCATGGCTATGATTGCCTGTGGAAGGCGCGAGTTTCACTACAGAAGGCTACCGATACTTGGAAAATGGTGGTATGGTCCGATTCCCACAACTGTCTTGGGGCAAACAGGAGAAACGAGTCCCGAAACGTGACATCTTCTATGATTGCTAGACTGGTTTCCCAAAATGTGCGAAAAGATCCAGATTTTGTAGTTGCCCAAATTCAAATAGAAGTTTTCAAGAGGTACCAAGTCGAATGTAGCTACAAGAAGGCATGGCATGGTAGAAGAAAGGCACTTGAGGCTCTGTATGGTACATGGAAAAGTAATTTTCAACAACTGCCCAGCTTCCTTGATGCATTGGTCATGTAAAACCTGGACACCTGTGTGCGATTCAAGTTTAAGAAAAATTCAGGAAGCTTGCAAAGGTTTGTATGTAGGTATGTTTTCTGGGCATTTGGGCCATCTATACAATTATTTCATGCTTGATGGCCAGTAATAACCATCGATGCCACCCACCTTCGAGGATCCTACAAAGGAAAACTAATTATGGCATGCGTGAAGTGCGCAAATGGCACAATTGTTCCCATCGCGTTTGCTCTTGTGGACAAAGAGACCATACACAGCTGGAAATGGATCTTGAAGTATTTGAAAAAGTTTGTTCTACAGGATAGGAAGACCTGTATTATCTCTGATCGAAATCAGGATATCCTTACTGCCATGGACATCATGTTGTAAAAATATCCAGAGATGGGAGTCCCCCGGTATTGTCTAGAGCATGTTAAAGTACACTTTGTTGGGCATTTTCGAAAGGAGAAATTGGGAGGCAACTGTCAAATGATTGGTTCAGCGATGCAAAAGACAAAGTATGTGGCAGAGTGGCAGAAATTAGAAGAAAAAAATAACAAGGCAGCTCGTTGGCTTCAGAAGCTGGGTGTTGAGAAATGGACCTGTTTTTACGATGGAGGGCATCGTTGGGGAGAAATGACCACTAACATTTCAGAGAGTTTCAATAATGTTCTGAAAAGTACTAGATTCTTCCCGATCACAGCTTTGATCCTAGCATCCTTTCAGAAAAGCAACAATCTGTTTCAGGCAAACATTGATTTGATCCAGACATGTCAGAATGTTCTAACTCCTAAGCCCATGAAACTGTATGAAGAGGCTCAGAAGAAATCAATGAGGCAACAGGTAAACCGGTTTAGCAAGAGAAACCAGAAGTACGAAGTGGTTACAATAGTACCTGATAATCAACCATGGAAGGCTGAGGAGAAGCAAGTTGTGCTCTATGCAGATCGAGAGTGCACTTGCGGGGGGTGGCAGACTACCAGATTTCCTTGTTCCCATGCACTTCGAGTTGCCCATGAGCTAGGTGACGACCCCTTCCCACTTTTCTGATCCATGTTACACTACGCAGCGATGGTACCATCAGTTTTCTGGAGAATTTAACCCAATCATGGAACCATGGCCAAAGGCAACGTGGCAGATCAGGCCTGATGACACTAAACTTGTCCACCATGCTGGGCGGGGTCGGAAGCGTGTGAATCAGAAAAAAGGTGTGATGGATTATACAAGAAAATCTGGCCAGCGAAGACTCCAAACTTGCAGTTTATGTAAAATACAGAGCCATAATACCAGGGCATGCCCATATGCGACAGTTTGCCCACGATGTGGAAGTTTAGATCATGATGCTGCGGAATGCCCATTTTCTCATCCACCTGCTGACAGGACCGCTATAGATAAACTTTACGATCCATATGGAATTCGTGGTGTGCTTAAGATCAATTCTGATGATGCGTAGTGGTGATTCTGTTAGTGTTTGTGTTGGTGTGTTGTTTTGAACATTCCTGTAACAAATCTCAGAGGATGATTCTGTTTGCGTTTGTATTTGTGTGTGTGTGTTGGTTTGGATGTTTGTGTGATAAACACCAAAGGATGATTTAGTTTGTGTTGTTATTCGGTTTGTGTTTATGTAAAAAAATTAGTTATTTGTTTATTTGGTTGGTGTTTGTATGATAAAATTAGTTGTCTAAATTTAATAGTAATATAATGTACTACAATTTAATTTTGCGATTATCAATAGATTGCTAAAACAGCGAAAACTGGAAATTTTAAAATTGTACATGACTCACCAGATTAAGGCACGTGTCAAAATTCTGTTGAGTCAAATTATTCGCGTTTCGAAAACGTGAAATGTTTGTGGGTTAAATAAAATTCATGTTTCAGAAACGTGAATTTTTGGTGGGTTAAAAAATTTTTGCGTTTTTGAAACGCGAATTGTTGATGGGTTAAATCTTCGAATTCGCGTTTCGCTTGTTTTCTTACCTGGTCCGCCGTCGAAATCCATTGAAATCAGCGAAACAACATCAAGAAGGCGGCAGCAAGTTTCGGCGTCGATTTTTTGCATTTTTTAGGCTATATATCGAGGTAAGTTGTTATTTTGCAATCATTTAATCGTTTTTTTTAAATTCATGCTTTTAAATTAATGCTTTCTAGCGTATTTGTGTTTTTTTTAATTTTAATTCGCGAATTAATCCTCCGTTAATAGATCTAGGACAAGTGGGGTAGTTGTGGGTTTTATTTTAGATTCGGGGGTGTTGTTTAATGTCGCCGGTAGCCGGCAGTGAAGCCGGCGACCATGGTGTTTCTTTTTTATTTTTTATTTTTTACTGGGGAGTTGGGGGTTGGGTTTTGGGTTTCATAGGGTTAGGTTGGGGGGGTTGGGTTCAGGGTAGGTTCTGACGGGGGGATTGCCGGGGGTAGGTTCTGATGGTGGGATTGCCGGCGGAGGAGTCGGGGGGTAGGTTCTGACAGGGGGTTGCAGGCGAGGGAGTCGGGTGGGTTCTGGGGGTGGGCTTAGGGTTTTGTCTTTTGAGGGGTTGGGTTGGGTTCCAGGGGTAGGCTTAGGGTTTTGGGTTTGGGGGGGTTGGGTTGGGTTCCGGGGTGGGTTTCGGTTTTGAGGGTTGGGTATTGGGTTGGGTTTAGAGGGTTGGGTCTTGAGTTGGGTATTGGGTTTAGAGGGTTGGGTATTGGGTTGGGAGGGTTGGGTACTGGGTTGGGTTTAGAGGATTGGGTACTGGGTTGGGTTTAGAGGGTTGGGTATTGGGTTGGGTTTTCTTAAAATAAAATTTAGGGATAATAAAATTAAGTCATTAAATTAAAATTTAGGGCCAGATTTTTTTAATATATATAGATAATTAAATTAAATTTTAGGATAATAAATATTGATAAATATTAATCCGTACTTACTAAAATTATTTATAAATTGTTATAGCCATGGAGATTGGATCATTTTCTTCCTCCCAATCTACATCCAAAAAGCTACGGCAGGGACCTAGAGACAATAGTTTGTTGTTCCTCCAAAATGCCCATAGGTCACATAATATATTCCATGGTGCCAAGTATGATATAGGGATTTTGGAACCGAGGCGCGTAGATAGCGCAGCGTGGAAATATATAAACGATGCTAAGACGATGTCAAAACAATACATTGAGAAATTTGGTTTTGGACCATTTTCTAGAATTGGGTCCATAAGATGTGACCATGCCCAGCTTACAGCTCTTGTGGAGCAGTGGCGCCCTGAGACCCATACGTTTCATTTACCTTTTGGGGAGGCTACTATCACACTGCAGGATGTTGAGGTTGTTTTGGGGCTTCGGGTTAATGGACGTCCAGTTACAGGACATCATACCACGCCCGAAGGTGGTTGGGCTGCCTATTTGGAGAGGATGTTTGGATTCAGGTTCCAGATAGAGGAGTCCAAATTGACTAGCGTTTCCATCACTGAAATAAAGACTCACATAGAGAACAATCCTTTGACAGACTAGTCCCCCGACGAGGCACACTTACAGCGTGTCCGTTGTTTTGTTGGATGGCTAGTTGGCAGATTACTGTTCTCTAACACTACCAGAAACAGTTTTTCACTCGTACTTGTGCATTTTCTACATACTCCCGAGATATACTGGGAGTACAGTTGGGGTAGCACGGCACGACACTATGTTACCTATACTGAAAAGCATGTCCAAGTCATCTCTGGCCGCTTCCGCAACGGTTATTACCGGCTGTGTGATTCTTCTTCAGGTATTTTATCTTTTCATTTCCCTCTCTTTTCATTTAATATTCTCCCATAATTATTTGTGATATTAGCTAATGATCCATAAATTCTGAATCAACTCTGGGCCTGGGAGCGGATTTTGACAGCTCAGCCAAAGATATTGGGTGAGGAGCTCGATCTTTCTCATTGTCCATTGGACACGAGGTAATCTTACACATCAAACCTCCGCAAATTTTGACATTGTGATTTGTACTGTCATGTTTCAATTTAATCTTAGTTTTTCCGTGCAGGTGGTCCCGTGAGAAAAAAGTTCAAGGTATCACGTGGTTCAATTTGGCCGCCTACCGGGATCAGCTTATAGTTCTCGCAGAGTCAGATGTTAGTATTCATTTCAATTACTTTAACATATTCTTTAAACTTTTTTAATGGTGCTAGAATTTTAATTTCTTATCTCTTACTGTATTACCAATGCAGTTTGTATGGATGCCGTACACGACTCTTCTGGGTGGTATTGCCAGGGTTTGTCTTGAGGGACAGGGCATCTGGCGATCTCAAACATGCCTCCTCTGCGGTGATGTCGTTGCGCCACACAACCCCAGTAGGGTATTTCGCCAATTTGGTTATCACCAGCGGATACCCGGCGACGCATTGCTTCTGACCAAAGAGGAAATTAGTAGCCTGCTTAAGAGGAATCCGTTTGGAGGATCCGATAGGAGTTGGATACAACAACTAGGCACAGGTTTGGAATGATCGCCACAACAAACTTGCCAGGACTGATGATGATTATGTTGGCGAGCCTACAGCAGATTCAGAGTATCTCTTGTTGAACCATCAGGTTACTGTAAAGTATGTTACGGATCCGACGGACTCTGAAAGCACGAGGGGTTTTCATGGCTCTGTAGAGACCTTGCGCCTCATGGTGAGTCTTCATACAATTTCTTTCTCCACAGTCCATTATGTAATTTATTTTCATTGTTATCGATTTACGGTTCTTTCTAACAAAAATTTCAGGCTACTTTGATGGAGGACGTTCGTAGTCTTAGTATTATAGGCCAGTGTACTTTCGACAAGGATTCCTTTGGTTATGATCGCTTAGGCGAGATTGCCCAGGTTGCTAAGTGGGCGTTGTCCGTCAATGCAACAAATATTGTAAGTCACGATCTCGAGAAGCAGGATGAGGTTAATGACATTTGAGTCAAGAACTTGGTCCTGTAGACCCGACCCAGCAATATCCACCTCCCAAACCTCCGAGGCGTTTGCGCAGGTCTCAGCATGGGCGTGGGAGGCAAGAGACAATCACGCCCACTCAGCCACATCAGTCCTCCCAGCATCAGCAATCTCATATCCCCTTCACTCAGTTTTCATCCCATCAATCTCCACATCAGTCTCCACACCATTCTCTATAGCATTCATCCCATCAGTATCCACATCATTCTCCACATCATTCTTTACACAGTTCAATTTCGCCGACCCCACAGGCGTTTTACCGTCCCATTATGTCCCCCCAGTACCAGCAGTCCCATTTTGCCTTCAGTCAGTTTTCCTCCCAGCCTTCTCAGCCTCAGTTTGGAGATTCTTTTATTGACCTTTCTGGGTTCCAGCAAAGTTCTCTAGATGGTCAGTCGTTACATTACAAGAGTAACTTTCTTTCGAGTATGTTCGAAGGTGTTGCGGGTCAACATCAGACTGATGACCCGGCTGGAGGTGAGCGTGAGAGTCAGCGTGAAGATGAGGATGAGGATGAGGATGAGGATGAAGACCAGCAGGATCAGTTTGAGGGTCAGGGTTATCAGCGCCATAAGGAACAGGGACCAGCGAGTCAGAATCTAGAGACTCCACCGTTGGCATTGAGTAAAGGCCAGAGAGAGAAAGGAGCCCGATAGATTGAATTATAGCCATTTTCGTGCTAAAAAGTCCAAGAAGAAGTAGGGTACTAGACTTTTTATGTAGTATTATTAGACTTGTATTTTTTTAATTTTTTTTCCTTTTTGTTATGACTTGTTTTTTTTCCTTTTGTTATGACTTGTTTTTTTTTTCCTTTGTTATGACTTGTAGTATTTTGTTATGAGTTGTATTAATATTCTTAAACAATGATTTCACCTCCGTCATTGCTACTTTATTAATATTTATCAAACACACCTTCGCCGATCAAATCTAAAAACAAAAATTTTATTTTATCTCAAACTATATTTTATTTTTTAATAATTAATAGTTGCTTCATCTTAAGCGTTTGTAATTTATAATAAATATTTCTTAAAATTTATTCATATTTTAAGCTTTTTTCTTATATTGAAACCGTCATAATTAATATAAACAGTATGTAAATTAAATTACATCTAATTAATATAAATCCATAAAATTGCGTCATTTATCATTATTGAAATTTTTTCATATAAAATTATTTTATAAAATAATGATTAAATCTTTAATATAATTTTTTAAAAAATTTTATAAATTATAATAATTATTTCATAATTTTAATAATTTATATTTAGTATAGCTCTATTATTTTCATGAGTATCAATTATAATATTATATTCATATTCTAATTTTCCTATTATTAAAATTTTCCTATTATTAAAATTATCAATATAATTTTCCTATTAATAATTTTTCTCTTTATAGCTCTATTCAAAATTTAAAGATTATCAATTATAATTTGAAAATTTTCCATTAATTTCATTATTAAAATTTAATAATTTTTTGAAGTAAATTTGCCTACAAATTTTAAAACTTGGCAAATTAATCGAATTTTTATGACTATTTTCTTTTTTTATTTAAATAAAATATTCTTTTTTATTTTTTTAACGCTTTGAAAACGCAAAACCTTATTTAATCAATTTTTATACCATTAATTAATTAAAATTAAGTTAAATTAATTAGGATATCCTAATTTTTAGCGTTTCTGATTCAAAACGCGATTTTGTCAATTTTCGCGTTTTTGAAGCGCGAAAAATTAGTTTTGGCGACAATTGAAACCCTAGATCTATTTTGTTCTTCTTCAGTTTTTTGAGATATATATAAGTCATTTTTCCAACCACCGAGTGAAATTTTAGTTCTATCTTTTGTTGGATAAAAAATGTTTCATCTTTGAGTTCATTCATATCTTTTTAAAATGTTTTTTTTTCTTACCTTCATACATCAAGAGGTAAGATTGAAGGGATTCTCATTTGTAATGTCGAGAATCAGGCTTAGTGTGATTCTTCAGTAGTCTGTGAACAATTAAGCAGGGAAATCTTGAAATGGATTCCTGTTAAATGTTTGATGAGATATAAGTCTGTGTGCAAGCTCTGGAGACTGATTATTTTGAATCCTTTATTTGTGAAGACTAATCAGGGCGGTTTCAAAGGTTTCCTCCTTACTGCTCCTGAAGAAGGCCCTGAATCCAAAAAATATCCAAATCGTAATTTCTATTTCTTTGAACATAATTGAGGCTCTTAACTCTGGTACTCTGGTACTGTGTCCCCTCGATGAAATATAAAGACTGGTATATCGTAAAAAAGAATCCCAAGTCGGGTGCGGAGCAGATAAATGAACTCTTTGACGATTCTCCAGTGTGGAAACCAAATTATTTGTTTGTACAGGCTCCAGAGGATTTTTGCATGGCCTGGGATTATCGTGAATCTCAGGAGATGGGTGTTATAGCTGATGTCTGGTCTAAATCTGACAAAGCCAGGATCGAGCAGTATAGGGATGACAGTACTGCTCTGGAATCCTTAAAAAATTATCTCAAATGGACAAAAGTGCAGCAGTACATTCCCCAATTCCTAGGGCTGTCACTTACACGGGTCAACCTGAATAACCGCCCGGACCGAACCTGAAATTGATGAAGTTGTTCGGATAATCGGGTAATTCGGGTAATACGGGTGCACCTGGTAAACCAATGTCAATAATCAGTTTGGATGTGGGTGGGGGAAATATGTTTCGGGCACCACCCGAAACCCGATTATTGCTATTATTTTATTTTTTTTGAAAAATATAAATAGGAAAGTAGGGTTTTGAGTAATGAGTCATTTCTCTCTTCCTTCCTCCTTTTTTTTCGGCCGCTACTGCGTAAACGTGGTGACGCCGACGCCTCCTTCCACCAGAATCCGACAAATCCGTCGTTCCTTCACTTCATTCCGCCGATCATCTCCCTTAAACAATTCGGCTGACCATCAATCTCCTCCAAACGGACCAGATCAATCTTAAATCCCTTTCAGATCTGGTCCTCCAATTTCCCTCATTCCGATTTTTGAAAGTAAACTCCGGCCACTCCCTCATTCCTCACATGCGTCTCCTTCACTCCTCTAGTCAACTAGATCTGGTCTTTCGTTTTGATTTCTGAAGGTTGTTGAACATTCTAGATCTGGTCCTCCGATTTCTCTCATTCTGATTTCCAGATCTAGTCCTCTTGAAAGCCACCAGAGTCCTCCGGTCTGAAGGTCACAGTGACTGACGACACCACTTAAACGGTAAGGAAACATTTTCGATCTTTTTCTGTTCCTCTTTTTTTCTTGTTCTGTTTTGCATGCTCCAAGTCAAAATATTTGTTCTGTTCTTTGTCTTCTTTGTTTGGTCTTCAGTCTTCTTCAATCATTGGAGTTTTTTTGATTTTCTTTCTCATGTTTCTTCCCTTTTGATAATCTGAAATTGAAATGGTCAAATGGATTTGCTTTTCAGTTCCCCATTTTTCCATTTATTTCCAGCTGATTCATGTGCTTGAGCTTGACTGAGTGCTTTGCTTGAAACTTGTTGTTGTTGGTGGCTGGCTGTGGCAGATTGTATCACTATTCGAATTAGTCTTTTTTTGTTGTGTGTATTGTTTGTTGCCTGGTTTTTGTAATCACTGGGTCTTTTTTTGGTCGGGGTTCTCTCGTTTTTGTCATCACTGGGTCTGGTTTTAAGGTTTTTGATCAGTTTCCTTTACTGTTTTAGCTTTTTTTTTTCATTAGAGTTTCATTAGAGGTTGAACTGGCTACTGCTCACTGGAGGTTGTGTGATGTGTACTCTGTAATTTTTTTTGTAGACTGTGACTGTCAACTGTGATCTGTGAACTAATTTTTTTTATTTTTTTTTCTGTTTTTTAAAGGTCTCAAGTTCCTGATAACATTGATGACATTGAGGAGATTGAGGATCAGGAGTTTCAGGACCTTCTGAATATGCCTCTGCCTGATATTCCTGAGGACGATGAACCTGTCATGATCGATGTTCAAGTTGAAACGATGGGACCAGTTGAAGCTGCTGCTGTTTGTAAGCCTCCAGGAAAACGCAGGGTAAATCGAAAGAGGTCTACGGTATGGCTCCATTTCTCTTCTTTTAATGATGCAAAAGGTGACGAATGGGCTGCATGTAATTACTGTGGTGCTAAGTATAGGTCTCAAAGTAGAAAACATGGTACAAGTAACCTTCGTGGTCATTTGCTGGTTTGTAAGAAGTATTTGTCTTTGAGCCACGATCGTACTCAAAGTAAGTTAATTGTTGAAAGTGCTAGTGAAGGAAAACATGCTAATATAACCAGCTGGAAGTATAATGAAGAAGAAATCACAAGGGCATTCATTTATATGATCATTGTAGATGAGCTTCCTTTTATGTTTGTTCAGAAAAAAAGGGTTTAGGTATTTTCTGCGAAAGTTGCAACCTTTGTTTGTTCCCAAGTGTAGACAGACTGTAGCTGCTGATTGTTATAAGTTGTATTTGGCTGAAAAGGAAAAACTGAAACTTGAAATCAAGGGGAATGTTAGTAGAATCTGTTTGACCACCGATTCTTGGACCTCTTTGCAACAGATTAACTAAATGTGTCTTACTGCCCATTATATTGATAATAGTTAGAATCTGAAAAAGAAAATCTTGAGCTTCTGCCCTATTTCGAGTCATAGAGGTGTTGATATTGGGACGTCAATTGAGGATTGTTTGTTGGATTGGGAAATTGAAAATGTTTTTACTGTCTCTGTTGACAATGCAAGTGCTAATGACGCTGCTATGGAATATTTAAAAGAACAATTTGGTCATCGTGAAAAATGTCTTTTGGGTGCAAAATGGTTGCATATTCGTTGTATGGCTCATATAATAAATCTTATTGTTAAGAATGGTTTGAGTCATATTGGTAAATCTGTTGAAAGGATTAGAGCTGCAATAAAATATATTAGGCAGTCCCCTCAAAGAATTGCAAAGTTTAAGAAATGTGCTGAAATAGAAAAGTGTAATAGCTCTAAGAATTTGATTCTAGATGTTTGTACAAGGTGGAATTCCACATACTTGATGTTGGAAACTGCCCAAGCTTATGAAAGAGCATTTAAGAGGTATGAATTAGGTGAACCACACTATAGGGACACTCCGAAACATGTTTCTGAGGATCCAAAAAATTCAGGGCCAGGGCTGCCTACGGCATTGGACTGGTTAGAAGCGAGAAGAGTGGCTGGTATTCTCCAACATTTTTACAAGATTATGTTGAAGGTATCTCGTACCAAATCTGTTTCTTCGGATTCCTTTTTTGATAATGTTACTTGCATTGAAGTGCTGTTGAAGAAAACCATTAATGAAACTGTAGATCCTGAACAACATGCTATGGCTTTAATAATGAGATCCAAATTTGATAAGTACTATGGTAGCATTAAAAAGAATGAAAAGATGAATGTTGTTCTTTACATAGCATCTGTTTTAGATCCAAGAAATAAGTTTGAGTAGATGGAAATTGTGCTAGAAAGATTTTATGGAGAAGATGATGGGAAAACGAAATTGGATTTTGTTAAAAGTTCTTTGAGGGAGTTGTATGCGGAATATGTTAGAATTCATGCCTCTGATTCTAGATTTATTTCATCTTCCTCCACTGTTGGGAGTAGTTCTTCTCAATCTGCTGCATTGGGGAAAAGATCTTCTCTGATAGACATTGAACCTTCAAAGATGCTTAGGGATCAATTTAGGGCAAAGCTGTTGAAGAGGAAAAATTTGGAAAGCGGTGGAAATATTGAAAACTCAGATTTAGAGAAGTATTTGAGGGAGACAACTGAATCTGATTGTCCCACATTTGATTTGCTGACCTGGTGGAAGGTTAACAGTCCAAGGTTTTCGATCCTTTCTTTGATGGCTCGTGATATTCTAGCAGTCCCTATTTCTACTGTGGCGTCCGAATCTGTTTTAGCACGAGTGGGAGGGTTTTGGATACTTTTAGAAGCTCTTTAACTCCAAAGAGTGTTCAAGGCTTAATATGCACTCAGGATTGGCTTAGGGAGGCTGTGGAAGCAGAAGATGTTGAAGAAAAATGGGAAGATCTCATAAAAATTGAAGAAGGTATTTGCATTACTAAATGGCATTTCTGATTTTCAGTATTTACATTTTGATGGCTTCAACTAATTAACTTCATTTCTAGATCTTTTTTCAGGTGCTGAAAAAGGAGAACCAAATCTTGACTGAGGATGTGGCCTGAATTTCTTAGTTTTTGCAGACTGAAACATGTACTTATCAAACTGAATTTCTTAATTTGCAGTATGATATTATGAGTTTGTGTCTTTGTGACTTTGTGGCCCGAATTTGAACACATACATTCTGTGTTTTGAATTTGTATTTCTCAGATTGCCAAGGTGAAGATTTCAAATCAACTATGAACTGTGATTCTGTGAAGACAAGACTGATTCTATGAAGTGTGACTCTGTTTGTTCTTCATTTTCTGTTTTTAAGTTGTTGGGACTGTGGACTTGTAATAAACTTTTTAAATTTGTTGTAAACTTGTAATGTTGTGGCCTTTTAGTGTCACCTGTGGGTTGTAGATGTTGGTGTTGTTGCCTGTTACTCCTTTAGTTCATTTGTTGAATGACTGAATGTCGGAATGAGACCATTTGCCATTTGCTGTTTATGTTTATGTTTGCAATTTATGGAAGTCTGGAATGATGTTTAAGTTTGCATTTTTCAGTTTGTGAAATCAGAATTCAGAAATGTTAAGTTGGTCCCCTGATTCGGTTAAACCAAAACCGAACAGCTAAAATCGATTGCTAATTCGGTCGCTTCGGTTCGGATTAATAGTATCTACGGTTCGGTTTTGGGTAGATCATTAGATTGAAAAAAACCGATTCACCCAAACCGAATTCACCCGAAGAGATCGAACCCGCCCGATCTGACAGCCCTACCAATTCCTGTGAAGGATAAAAAATGTACTAACTCTTCTTGTGTATTCCTTTTGTTCTAGGTTATAGCGTAGAGCAAGAACACCGTTGGCTTGTTTGGTGATTCCAAGATTTTTGACATTAAAAATTCTGATGGTGAAGGATCTTCAAGCAAGGTCAGCAAGAAGAGGAAGTTGAGGAGGCTAGTGAAAGCGTCAGAAGCAGGCGCTAAGTCAAAAAAGAAGAAACATGCTTCTCCAGTCGAGAAAGAAGGGCTAGTCGAGGAAGTTAAGCCCGTCGAAGAAGACAAGACCGTCGAGGAGGATAAGCCCGTTGAGGAGGGTAATCCTATCGAGGGCAATGTCCCTCCAGAGAAAGATAGGAATCCGGAAGCAGAATGAGACCCAAGTTGGTTTACAACATTTCCGCCTTCGCTATCTCAGAAGAAGGGCGCTGCTGAGAATCCAGACACCTCTCTAGGGTCATCATCATACACTACAGCCGCCGCCATATTCCAGTTTGGGGATGATAGAATTGAATGCCCCATAATAAAAGAGGTAGCCGAAACGATGACTGATGAAGAAGCCTTGAAAATGGTAAATGTTCCCAACACAAATGTTTTCCGCATTCGCTAGTTGTAACTAGTATTTCAATTTATACGGATATCTTGCTTGCAATCTCGATAGCTAACCACCTCCTTGGCCAGCATCCTTATCCGCAGAAAGAAGCTAAGGGAGGAAATCTCCAATTTGGAGCTCGAGAATGGGTTTCTCGAGCAAGAAAAAGTAATCCACGAGGAGGCAAAGAAAAAGGAAATCCGCAAATGCTTGCCCTTTTATAGCCGTCCTAGGCTTATACTCGATATGGTGTTCCCCCAGCTCAACGGCCCATTTCATCATTCAGCCCGAAGCCTCAGACTTGAGAAGAACTTACTGTATAGGTTGCTCAGTTAAGACCTGAATTGGGTGAGCTTGGAAGTACGGACGAAGCTGTCGAGCAGCGAGTACCAGACTTAGTATCAGTTTTTTCATGGGGGTGTATCGAGATTCTGCCCCCTGTAGGACTTTGCTCACAAAGTAAACTGGGATTTCTTTGCCCTTCTTTTTCTGGATGAGAACCGCAGATATAACAGTTTCTCAAGCAGCCAGATAAACGTATAGGGTTTCTCCCGGCTCCGGTTTAGCTAACATTGGAAGCTTCTTGAGATGCTCTTTCAGGTCCTGGAAGGCGGTCTGACACTCTTCAGTCTATGCAAAACTCCTCACTTTTTGCAACGTCTTGAAAAAGGGGAGGCTCCTCTCTACAGCTCGAAATAGGAACCTGTTTAATGCCGCCAGGGATCCCGTAAGCTTTTGAACCTCTTTGACTATTTTTGGAGCTTCCATAGACAAAATTGCTTCAACTTTTGCGGGATCAACCCTTATTCTATCTTTTGATACTTGAAAGCCCAGGAACTTCCCGGAGCCAACGCAAAAAGTGCACTTCTTTGGGTTCAACTTCATGTTAATTGCTCGAAGAATTGTGAAGATCTCTCTCATGTGTCTTCAACTACCTTGTTATCGAGGTTGCTCTTGATGACCATGTCATCCACATTAATTTCAACGTTTTGCCCGAGTTGATCGTGGAAAGCTCTGTTGACTAGACGCTGATAGGTGGCTCCAGCATTTTTTAAGCCAAGCGGCATTTTATCGTAGCAGTACACTCCAATTTCTGTGATGTATGCTGTTTTCTCTGCATCTTCTCGAGCCATAAGGATCTGGTGGTATCCTTTATATGCATCGAGGAAGCTAAGTATTCTAAAACAGGTTATGCCCTCGACCATCTGATCAATGACGGGCAAAGGGTAACAATCCTTAGGGCAATGTTAAGATCTGTGTAATCTTGACACATGCGCCATGTTTTATCCGGTTTCAAGACAAGGACCGGGTTGGCTAGCCACGTTGGCCAAAGAACTTCCCAGAGAATGTTGGCGGGGACCAATTTGAGCATTTCGTCGTTAATGACATCATTGTGATCTCGGGCAAAACTTCTCTTTTTCTGTTTGACCGGTTTGACATTGGGGTCGACATTCAACCTGTGCTCGATGACTTCTCGGGGAACTCCGGTCATATCAGACGGTGACCAAGCAAAGATATCTCGAAATTCATGTAGTAAGGCAATTACCTCGACTCACAAGATTCCGTCTATAGATATTCTGAGCTTGATTGTCTTTTCTGGCTCTTTCTCGTCCAGGATCAACTATTCTGTCTTGTTGCTCAGTGGTGGCTGCTTGGGATGATCGAGATCCATGTCCTGCTCTTTCCCTTTATATTCGATTGGTAACACTCCTTGTTGAACAGAGTAACACCCCGACGCGATGACAACCAGCTCTGGCTTTACTGTTTTCTTCCCGATTTTCACCGCTATGAGCAAGCATTCTCGAGAACTACGCTGGCTTCCTTGCACAATTCCTACCCCATACTCTGTTGGAAACTTCATGACCAAGTAGTAGGGTGACCAAACAGCATGGGCCTGACACATCCATGGCCTTCCTAGAATCACATTAAATAGCAAGGGTGCATCGATTATGGCAAAATCTATTGTTAGAGTTACCATTCGAGGATGCAACCCTACCATGATAGGAAGCCTAAAAATCCCGCTAGGGATTATCGTATGTCCTGAAAAGCCCATTAGCGGTAATGTTGTGGGGCGCCAATCTGGATTTCTTACGTTCATCTTCTTGAAACACTCACTGTATATTATATCCACCGCCCTTCCGTTATCAGCATATACTCAGCTTACTTTGACATTTCCTGTGATTGCCTCGATAACCATTGCATCACTATGTGGACAGATACCCGAGACAACATCACTGTCCGTAAAGACTACTACCTCCGTCCCTTTGAACCGTTTGTGACTTGGTTCTTGAGGTGGTGTCTTAGTTACTTCTCGAAGTGATGCTTTCATTGCTGTTGTGGACAAGACCTCAAGGGACGGACCATAGATAGCTCTACGTTGTGAGTGATCTGCTTGGTTGGATCTGGAGGAGGAACTTGCTGAATCGGCTGTAGCCCTCCGTCCAAGGATTGCTGGGCAGACTGCTGCGAGTAATTCCTTTGTTGCCAATTGTTTCCTCGATTATATTCTCGAGGGCCGCGGTTATTATTTCGTTTAGGGAAATTACAGGGTGCCGCAAAACTTCCCTCCCGTTTCTCGAGGAGTGCCTTCTGTGTTTTGTACATACTGCTGAAGCTTTCCAGATTTGACTCCGGCTTCAATTTCCCGCTTGAGTTCCCTGCAATTTTCCGTATCATACCCGTGGTCTTTATGGTATTCACAGTACTCACTCGTGGACCTATTTGGGTTGTAAGCTAATGGTTTTGGAACGGGGAACTCATCCTTGTGAATCTGAAGTATTTCTCGTCGAGGCTTCAACAACGGGGTTAAGGTCCTGTCGAGCCTAGGCAAGGGCGGTTTACTCTCCGTCGTCGACTTGTACCTGTCCCTTCCCCCTCGATCTCCTGCAAGCGAGAAGGATTCTTGCGATCGCTTGAGTGTCTGTTCGCGCTGGATATAGCTTTCCATTGTGGCCCACATCTCCTGTGTGTTTCGAGGAGGTTTGGTGGTCAACTTCACTCGCAGGTGAGTAGACTTTCCCCATGGGTTGAGGCCTTGGATAAATCTATTTTGGACATCTCTGTCATCGAGGTAATCTACTTGTAGGGATTCTTGAGTAAAACGGCGATGGAAATCCGAGAGACTCTCGTTCTGTCCTTTTTTGATCGACGTCAGATCAATTGACATTTTTGTAATTTGCTTGCTGGGGAAGAAGCTTGTGGCCAGTTTCACTGACAAGTCCTCGAAATTGTCAATGCTTCCTTTCGGTAACTGTCCAAACCAACATTGTGCTTGTCCATCGAGGAAGGATGGTAGAACTTTGGCCATAAAGTCAAGAGACGCGTTCCGAATTCTCATAACATGCACATACTTGTGCAAAAATCACTGTAGATCAGTGTCTCCCGAGTAGTTGACGAAGTCTTTTAGAAATTCAAAGTCTCGAGGTTTCGAACAATCTCGAATCCGTGGGACAATAGGACTCTTATCCACGATCATTCCTATCATTCTTCTCATCGAGTCGCGGATGGACGGGTCTTTGTAGCTTTGGTTCTCTCGTTGTCGAGCAAATTGGGGTTCTTCAGGATATGGAACGTCGTATCTTTGATGACCATAAGGTAGGTATTTTGAGTTATGGTGAGTATTACGGTGATCGTGATAAGACCTCTCTGGAGGACCTTTAGGCCCCAGTCGAGAGTGACCGTTACCTCTTGGAGGGGAGTCCCAATTCCTTCTTGACAACTCCTCAACACTGGGTGATCGTGGGTTAGGCTGGCAGTGAGACTGTTTTTTCTATTCATGTTCTTTTGCAAATTGCTCAATTGCCGCATAAACCACCAGATTTGTTTGCTCGAAAACGTCGCAGAAGGTATCACTAGGGGTTTCGGAGAGCTCGACGCGAGAAGTTTCGCGATTGCGGGCTTCCTTGTGAAACTTTTCTTCCCCTTCATCCGGGACTTTCCGTTTTCCTCGTCTCACCTCGAGGAGGGCTAACGTCCTCATCACCTCCTTCTCCTTAACCAGATCTTCCAGCTCTTGATCCATGGGATCGGGGAGGCCAAGGAAACAACAATGTTGGTATTTCTCTAGTATATATTTCTTTTTGCTCTGGTTAAAGGAATTGCTGTCTTTCAAATTCTTCAATTTTGTTTCGATCTCGGCCAGTCGCTATTTTTCGTATGGATCTGAAACTTTGCGATGGTTTTCCGGATCTCCCTCCCCCTCACTTCCATGACTAGTTGGCTTTGTGGGGGGTTTTCTTTCTTTTCGACTGCAGGTCGTTTCTCTTCCGCTTCTGCCTCTCTTGGAATCCCGCTAGGGTTTCATCATTGTTGCGACTTTCACGCCTACCGATTGATGCGATACTAGATTGAGGATTGTCGATTATAGCCATCCTGTCTTGGAAAAACCCTAGCTTGGAGTGGTGGCAGAGTATTGGAAAGTTTTTGAAAGCTTGGGAAAGTTTTGTGACACAGACCCTAATACTCGGGTCCCACCGGGCATGACACTTGACGATGTCTGGAATTGCGCCTCCGGCTTGCTGGTGGAACTCTGATTAGGATTTTCTGTAAAATAGAGCCTCGGGGCCTCCCGATGGTAGACACTCCGAAGTTTAAGTCAGAAAATAAGGTTGCGAAATAATGTGTATATGTGAATTGGTGCTAGAGATAGCGTCCCTCAATTATGGTGCCTTCATCCCTATTTATAGGCATAAGAATACCCTAAGGGAACCCGAATCCTACTAGAGTTTAGTCATGTTGCCGCCCTATTGGAGTCGGTTGGGCCCCTTACTCGGTTAATGGGCTGATCCAATATCAGTGGTGGATATGGACTCGTCATATAGATTGGCTGATGGAGAAAATTTTCTATAGGATCAAAGCTTTCTGCTGCCTAGTGAGACTGAGAAAGATACAAAACTGAATTTATTTCGAACAGTAGTGCAATTGTTAGCACAATAACAGCTTATTTTCTGTTGATGATCTCCATTTTCGGTGTTTCATCAAATATAGAGCTTGTGTTTTCAATATTTAAGGTAGTCTAAATGTATACATTGGAAATTTCGGTAAAGAAAAATGACTAAACAATATACAGAATGTTTTTAGTTGAAATATGTTAGGGTCCTCTCTACAAAATAATAAAGAAAAAAACAACCCTTCAGTTATTGGTCCAATTGAACCCAAGTTTCTGCGCGTTTACACGGGAAGAATGTAAGATGATCATTTGCTCAACGTGACTAAATTAAATTATAGTATAACTTAATGCTATTAAGAAAACGGCACGTTCCACTTTTCTTTCTAATGACTTTTGACTCATGAAGAACACTTTTCTCTGTGCACTGGGACAAATTGGGTCCAAATGTTTTCTTTGCTGACTCAAGTTGAGGTTTGCAAGTTAATTAAAATCATTAATCCGAGTTGACATGGCCAAAATGCATCCTGCTAGCTCTCACTAATTTCATTTTCACACGGGGCTTAATGAAATGGTACTCTTTCCCACCCCAAAAAGAAATCGTCATATTGATTTTAAGATTTTTACCGTTAACTATTTCTTTGAGACATAGAAAGTACATGTTCAAAAAATGAAGTAATGATCCATTAGGGTAACTCCTTTATTTGTCAAGACTCCTCCTTAGTCCTTCCTGGCCCTGAATCCATTAAATAGCCAATGCTGCTTCTGTTAATGGCCTCCAATGTTTGTATTATAGCAAATATTCATGTATCTATAATGTCGCCACAAGACAAATCATCATTCTTCCCGTTTCAATGATCAATTCTGATGATTTCGCGTTTTGTAGAATGTGGTAAAAAATGATGTGAAGTTGAGGCTGGTCCAACAAGATTGTTGAGCTAAAACCAGCAAGATTGTCCATTTTAATAAAATCAAGGTTGGATCTTCCCGAACAAATTCTAAAAGGCTATCCTCAATCTAGTTTACCCAAGGCAGAACATTTCTTCCTTCACTCAAAGTCTCAAACCATTGAATTTCTGCTGAAAGTCCTTCTTTTTAAACAAAAAAAAAAAAAAAAAGAGTGGAACTTTGGCATAGGAAATCAATGATTGGGGAAGGAGGACCAACTCTTGTACTCTCTTCGTCCCAAAATTATTGTCTAGTTTGGATTTTCAATTTTAGTTCGGATTGTACTAAAAGTGAAATCTCAAACTGGACAATAATTTTGGGACGGAAGGAGTATTACATTTTACTCTGGTTGATACAAAGTGCAAAAGGTGACATTGGTTTTACCATAAGGACCTCATCAGAAGCCAGGAAGGGAGGAAATTCTACAGGTTATTTGTGAAGAAAATGATAAATGAGCTTAAAGGACGCGGTAAACAGTCTGTAAATATCGAAACCATAATCTAACTGTGATGGAAACCCAAGTTTATTTGCTCTTCATTTCCCTAACTAGACCTTTCAAGCAAAACGTTGCAAAGGAGTGAAGGCCTTGTTTTACTGGTAGTTTCTGTTCTGCACTATGTATGGCCCTCTTGAAGTGAAGTTAAAAGAATTTGAAATCAAATTACATCTGCTTTACACAATGCATTAACTTACATGAGTTTCCTAAGCACATCTCTAAGGTTTTCAGTTGACGAATTTATTTGGATTCGGTGATCAGAGTCAATACCAGCCTTAAGGGCATCGTATATATCATCTATTTTTCGATAACCTGGACTCGTGGCATTGCCTGAGGAAAAAGGATTTGGTGGAATAGATAGATCTTCACCACTTCCTCCAAGCATTTGAAGCACTAGTGTGATCGAAGGACGATCTTTTGGATTCCACTGGATGCACCAGAGTCCCACAATTGCTAATCTCTTAGCAATCTTGTCCTCTGCATCATCTTCCTCAACCTGGATTCTCCATTCTTTGCCTTCAGACATGCACCCATACACCCATTCAGGGAAGTTCACTTGGCTGACATTTTCAACATTCGGGTCAATGTTCTTTCGTCTTCCCACCATTTCGAGTAATAAAATCCCAAGACTATAAATATCTGATTTGTGAGTAACATTCCCAAAATGCCTGGAGAAGACTTCGGGCGCGATGTATCCCATTGTTCCTCTAGCAGCCGTCATGGAAACCGCACTCCTTCCCTTCTCGCACAACTTGGCTAGCCCGAAATCTGATATCTTCGGGTTGTAGTTTCTGTCTAGCAATATGTTTTGTGGCTTTATGTCGAAATGCAGGATCCTCTGTTCACATCCTTGATGAAGGTACTCGATTCCCCGTGCTATGCCGATAGCAATATCTAGTAACTTCTCCATTCCCAGCTGCTGCTTGTGCTGATGAACTGCTTTCTCTGTGCCTTTATTTGGGAATATGTACTTGTCTAGGGAACCATTAGGCAGGAATTCATAGACAAGGGCTCTTTTGAATCCATCCGCGCAATAGCCTAGCAATCGAACTACATTGGCATGGTGGAGTTTTCCCATTGTGCCAACTTCGTTGATGAATTCTTCTCCATTTTCCGTGGAGTTATGCAACAATTTAACTTCTACAAATATGCCATTCCCCACTTTTCCTTTGAACACATTCCCGTAACCTCCTTCGCCTAATTGCTCCTTGAAGTCGTCGGTCATTTTCTTTATATCAGCGTAGGAGTATCGAGTAGGCTTCATAGCAGCATAATTCTCTAAAAAATTCTTTATCCTCCTTTGATTTTCTTCCTCTATTTTCCTTTTGGAATAAGCAAGGGCAAATACAGTAGTTACCAGTAGGAGTAACAAAAATCCAAGGATGGGACCTGTTTGATTTCAAATGTATGTGATTAGTATCGGAATACTAGAAAATTTGGAAAGAAGTAATCAACATCTTGAGAAATGGAACTTACCAATACCACTAAAAATCTTCGTTAATCTACCTGTAATAATATCAAACAAGATTATTATTATTATGGAATGTGGATTTCAATACATCAACTAAGTTATATGGAACATTTCTTTTTTTCCTATGATTCTGGAGGGATAAAAATACTACCAATACTCAGTGATGGAAATTCATACCAGTGTTCTTCTGAAAGCATCGAATTTGATTATTGTTGGCTCCGCTGATGTCTCTTCCACAAAGATCACCATTCATCTCACAACTTTTGCAGTCCATCAAAGACCAAGTCAAACTCATACTCTTTTTTTTCCCTTTTACATTAAATAATTCATCCGAAACCAATTTGGTATTGTACATCTTGGTACAATATTCCAAAGGTAAACACCCAATTTCTGAACTTGCAGGCAGCGCAAACACTTTGTATCCAGAGCTATCAAGGCAAATATCTTGATACTTGTTATAGAAGTTATATCTCCGAGTAAAAGGATTACCTTTTGAGGCTGAGCAATTGAATAAAGAGTACCTATCCTTTTCAGACGACGATGAATCAGAAAACCGAAATGGGGTGGTGGAAATGTCAAAATCTTTGAGGTGCTTTGCCATACAATCTTCTTCAGCTGGTGCTCGAACTTTCATAGTTTGAGTCAAATAGTCAATTTTCGCGACCAAAAACTTGATAGATGTTGCAGGAAGCTGAAATATAGTTCGATTCGATTCGTCGCAGTAAAGATCGTAACCTGAGTTATAACCACAGTTTTCAGGCTGTCGTCCCTGGAGACGAAACGGGAACCTCACCGGAGGCCCATTCTTGCTGCATTTCATCTCTTCACAGATTTCCTGATGATCAGGATGATGGCCCAGAGGTAAGATATGAACAGTTGATTGGTTTAGTAGTGCAGTTACTTTTGATGGGATGATCATGGAAGTAGTGAAACAAATGGTTAATAGAAGAACACCCAATCTTTTGCTGATGAACTCCATCTTGTAAATGGAGTTTTGTTTCAATATGCTATAATCAATTGATGGCAAGTTATGGCAAATTTCTGGTTATCATTACGATTTTAATGTCTCAATTGAGTCCCAAATACGTGTGGCAAACTAGTTTGCTGAGGTTCTTGGCAAGTCACTTAAGTGGGAAAAAGAATTCCATCAATCATACAACTAATTAATAAAGTAAGCTACCACATGCTTTAAGTGTTACATAACGTTTTAATACATCAATCATGAGATGTTCTTGGAAGCTGTTCTATAAATTATTTACCATGAGCCTTCAACTTTAGTTCTTTTAAATTACTCCAACTCCAACTTTAGTTATTTACCATGATATGATTGAGTTGCATTATTGATGTGAAAAAGAGACTCAAATTGAGGCGCGTCTACTCGGCAATATGATCATGTTCTCCACATGACTAATTAATTAATCTGATTAATGAAAACAAATGGGACATCCCCCATTTTTCCCTAATGACTTGGGGTCCAATTTGTCTCTTTGTTGTGTTGGGTCAATGTTTGCTAGCTATAAAAAGATTCACGCGTGATTCACGCGTGACATTTAATTAATACTGCATTCACTATAAATCAATAACTAACAAAGTGATGCATGCACAATAGAAGCAAAAGAAAGTACTCCGACCGTCCTAGAAAGATTCCTCCCTGGATCCCAAAATTATTGTCGAGTTTAAGTTATTTTTAGTATAAGATAAATTAAAAGTGAAATCGCAAACTGCACAATAATTTTGAGACACAGTAAGTATTTCGTCTGTTGTATTGGTACTTTGTTCTTCCTCAAAACAATTATTTTGTTTGTTGTATTAAAGTTAAAACATGACATTTTGGAATGAGAGAGCAATAATAATATTTAGAATAACAGTAGAGCTGTCATTTGGTTTCACATTACTTTAGTCTAGACTCTAAGCAACAGAGTTTTATACAAGGTTTAGTTCAAATCCCCTTCAGTTCTTAGAAGTATCAAGTAGTTTATGCAAAAACAGAGTCCTGTCTCTAATACTAGTTATGTTTCCTGTCCAGATTTTTTTGGTCATTCTGTCTGTTTCTTTGGGTTTTTTCCTGTTTTGCTGGTTCGATTTTTGGCACTTATTTTGGAGAAAGTTTTTATGACCTCTCATCATCTAATTTTTTCCAGATTTTAAATGGAACAAGCCATAAGGAATGTGAACAAATTCCGCACCACTGTGAAGGCCTAGGTAATGAATTCTACTTGAAGTACCCATTTCGATTTCAGGGCGACCCAGAATTCTGTGGTCATCCAATGCTCGAAATCGCTTGTCACCAAAAACAACCCATTTGGCACTTCCATTATTCTTCCTCCTCGCAAGAATACTTGTACCTTTATGTGGACGTATTCAATATCAATTACGAGTCAATGGAAATCCGTGTCATAGATCCCGGTTTCGAAAATGGTCTCCCGATTAACCCTTACATTTATGCATTATTGGGTGATGAATTTATTCAAACCGGTGAACTTTCCTTCGGTTTCCCAGATAGTTATCTGATCTTTGTGAGTTGTGAGAATGATATTCTTCAGGTGAAGAAACATCAATCATCAAAAGCAGAGTTCCCGATTTACATCGAAGCAAGTAGTACCAATACAGTCTCTGCTTCTTCTTCTTATAATTATGTGGTGGTTGGTCAAGGATTGGTTGCTTCAGACATTGAAGATTCATGTACCATCATTAAAATGATCCCAACAAATTTGGATGAGTTTCTTCTTACCAGCAGGAGGACAAGGAATGTTACGTTCCAACAGATAATGGATTTGATGAAATCTGGTTTTCCTGTGAGCTGGGCCTTTTACCCTCAAGAAGCTCAGATCAAATCTTTTCGGTGTAAGTGATCTAATCTTCTCATGTCCTTTTATTCTGATTCCTCATGGATTTCTATAAACATCTACAATGATTATCAGGAGCCCTTTTTGAGAACTTCTGGATTAATTCCATTATATATTATCAATGAGTTGATTTTTTTTTTTTGGGTTCTCCTACATTTTAATGTTAGCTAACTTGTGGCAATACAATGGATATTAGGTCAAACAGAACTAATAATAGAGAACTTGTTCGCAAGGGTTAACAAAACTGTCGACGGTGTCAAGAGACCGATGCGTGAGTACATTTATCATCTCAAAAATTTCGGCATACATGTGATTGTAGGATTCATCTTGTTTTGAAGTATTTTTGTTCTAAAAGATTTTTCCCTTCACGCTGTTAGGTCCAGGAGGGATTTTACTCAAGATTTCAGGTAACTTATGAACAATTATTTCATTTTGTTCGTATGATTTCACCATCAAAACATTCGCTGATCTAGTACAAATTTCTTCTGTATTAATTGCAGTTGTGGCGATGGCAGCTAGAAACGTTCTTGGAATTCTACTGTTGATGGCTTTTCTTGTTTATAAGTGGCATAGAAGGCATTCATCCATGTATGACAACATAGAAGAGTTTCTACAAGCAAACAATGGCTTCATGCCTATAAGGTACTCGTACAAAGAAATCAAATCAATGACCGAAAATTTCAAGCAGAAATTAGGTGAAGGCGGGTTTGGTTTGGTTTACAAAGGGAGATTGCGAAGCGGGAGTCTAGTCGCTGTCAAGATGCTCAATAAATCAAAAGCCAATGGACAAGAGTTCATTAACGAAGTTGCTACCATTGGAAGAATTCGCCATGTCAATGTGGTACGACTAGTCGGGTTTTGCATAACCACCTCTACACGCTCTCTAGTCTATGAGTACATGCCTAATGGCTCTCTTGACAAGTTTATCTTTTCTACAAACTCAAATGGTGCTTCATGGCTTAGCTGGAAGCGATCGTTTGAAATTGCAACAGGCGTTGCTCGGGGGATTGAGTACTTGCACCAAGGATGCAGTATGCAGATTTTGCATTTTGATATCAAGCCGCATAACATCTTACTTGATGAGAATTTTCTGCCCAAAGTTTCGGATTTTGGACTGGCCAAGCTCTACCCGAAACAGAATGATAGCGTTGCAACACTTACGGCTATAAGAGGAACATTAGGCTACATGGCTCCAGAGCTGTTCTACAAGAGGATAGGGAAAGTGTCTTACAAATCAGATGTGTACAGTTTTGGAATGTTACTCTTGGAGATGGCAGGGAGGAGGAAGAATTTCAGTAATCAAGTTGATTATTCAAGTCAGATGTACTTCTCTTCATGGGTATACGATAAATTGAATCAAGGTGAAGATATAGAGATTGGAGATCAAATGACAGATGAAGAAACGGAGATAGCAAAGAAATTGATTTTAGTTGCATTATGGTGTATACAAATGACACCTTCTGATAGGCCTTCAATGAGAGAAGTCCTGGAAATGCTTGAAGGTGATTTCCAGTTCCAGGGATTAAAGTTGCCTCCTAAGCCCTTATTTCACCCTCCTGACTCACCTGAAGGCATTCAAAGCGATCACACTTGTTCATCCAAAAAATCGGCATTAGAGATTGAATCATGGTTGTAGAAGTGTGTTGTAACTAAGTAACAGTATGACAACGTAATGTAAATATGTACAGCGGTTTATGTGTCAGTTGGGAAACTGGTCTACTTAATTAGAACTCTTTTTTTACATGTATACACATTCCTTTCATCTTCAATAGAGTATTCCATTTGAATTAATATCTATCAGATTTTTTCTTTACTCTTAATAATTCAGAATATTTTTTATTTCGCTCTTTGTCCCCACCTGCAAAACTGCATTTTCGTAATACACCTGAGATTCCAATATACTAATTCAACAAATTAGCATAACATCATATCAAAAGGTAATGAATATCATGGGGCATGACTTGTTCCTCACTAGCCCTAAAAGTGGGAACATTATACAGTGTTTGAACTTAAGGGAGGGTGATAATGACGGAGCCTCAGCGCACAACTCCCGTCACCAAACCATGAATGTCCGCGGTGAAATGAGTTTTCATTCATGTTGCCTCGTGTATTCGTACAATGGCAATATTGCCGCATGGGAAAGCAGGAGTCGTCCTGTTTCAATGTGGGATTCCAAGTCCTGTGATTACCATTGTGGTTTGGATCTCTCTAGCAGCATCCCAAAATAATTGTACATTTTGGATTTTCACGTTTAATACAGTTTGAACTAAAAAATAAAAGTCAAAATGGACAATCATTTCGCACAATATAATAAAGGCCTTACATCCAGGAGGGAAATGTTTTCAGCACAATCTGTAAAGTTAGGTTTGACCATGGGGGTTGATTCATTGAGGAGAAGCATTGATCCTGCAACTTGGGAGTTGAAGAGCCTTTTGTCTTATTGCAGGGCGCACTTTTCATATGCTTCGTCCATGGCGCACTTTTCACAAGGAATTATTACCACCGTTGCCAATATGATGATGATCATCATCCTCATCCTTATTTTAGAACAAATTTATCACTCTTCTGACTGATTATGAGATAGAGCTAGCTTTGGTCCTAACAAAACACCGAAGAAGCTCAGCTTTATATTAGGTTTATCAGTAAGTTAAATTTTCGTTTGAGCAAGATCACGAAAACAATTGCAGTTTTAAATGAGGTTGAAGCATTGAAATTAGAATTGCAAGAAATTAAGGTCATTTTTATACAATCATGTAGGTACAAGTATTCCGCGGTTTGGAAAATGATTATAACAGTTTTCCTGATATTTTCAATACAACAAACAAGACAGATTGTTTGGAGACAGAAGTAGTATTTTGTTTGTAGTACAAACTCAACGAAGGTAATCGTCCGAAGATATAAATAAACAGAAGACTTTCCACGCATAAAGCCATCAACTGTCAAATAAACTTACTCAGTCTCCATGATTTGTTGGAACCTGGAGGCCTGAATGATTCCAATCTAACATCGGAATTTGACAGAAACTCTCTCAATCCAGAATCACCTCTTTGAGATGCAATTGTTTCCAATGTTGTTCCCAGAACTTCGGCTGCAAGTCCGGTTTCTACAAGACACCCTGGCTTCTCTCCACCTTCGTACAGTAAGCGTTCAATCTCATAAAGGGATATAACATTCTCGAGGATAACTCTAGCAAACATATGCCCGAGAAATTGTGCAGCCTTTGGAGCATCGATAATTGCATCTTCCAATGTTATCAGTACAGTGTTGAACCTGACAAATCAAGTTGAAATATTAATGTGAGCAATCACAAGAAAATTCGATGTTTAAATGAGTAAACACCTCAACAATGTTCATCCAATATGATGATTTTCATACCCTTTCATGAGCTGATCTCGACTTATTACAATGTCATACCGAGATTCTGTAAGCTTGATTAGAAGCTTCGTTAAGAGATCCCTCTCCATGTCATTCCTCTCAAAAGAATCCGCGACCCAAAGAGATATCATTGACGGGTAGAAGCTCGCGTTATTCAACTCCTTGATACACAAAGCAACTTCATTTTCATCTTTGGCGCTGCAAACGCAAAAGCTTTTCAATGTACAATTTTTTTCAGAATGACATCAATACCTGAGATACTTTTCTAACAAGTAAGTTTCTTTCCAATTCAGATGGTACTTAAGATGTGGAATCATCTATCAGAGGAAAGAAAAAAAAAAGAAAAAGAAGAAGAAGACATGAACAACCATCTGCCTTAAATCCCTTATTAATTACAGGAACTAGGTTTACCTCTCATCCACAATCGTATCATCCCAGGCTCAATTTCTCATCAAGATAAACTTCCACACAAGTATTAGCGAGATGAATTTGGAAGAAAATTTTAAGCTGAATTAATGGAAATGATACGTTGAGAATTACAGAAACCCATGAGGTTCCACATCAAAACCAATTGGCTATGATACATTGAGAATTATTGAAGCTCATGGGTTCTACCTCAAAATCAATTGGCTGTGAAGAGACTAACCCATAGAACTTATATGTTGATACTCAGAATCTTCCAACACCGATGTGGGATTGAGATTGTTTAATACTCCTCCGCAAGCCCAACGTATTTTTTTAGTAGGGCTTATCTTATTTTTTTTAGCCAGACACGCCTCACATCTCTGCCTTTTTTTTGTTGGGCTTTTTTGGAATCCGAACAGGCTGGCTCTGATACCATATAGAACTCCATGGGGTTCTACCTTAAAACTAATTGGCTATGAGGGAATAGCCCACGGAACTTATATATTGATGCTCAGAGTCTCCCAACACCGATTTGGGATTGAGACTTTTAATAAGAATCACATTCATTCGAGTGAACTTGAGCTAGTAAGCAAGCTGGAGTAGAACTACAAATTACCACTGCATTCTACAAACTCCCAAACATTACACTGCCATGACATCTACCAAAAGAACTAAGAGAAAGGTATATTTACAAGGAATAAACTTAATATATAGCCAGAGAAAATTCTTGTTAAGACTTTATATACAGGTAATATAAAAAGAACTGTTAATTCAAATAAATACGAAAAGGAGCTCATTCACAGGAAATAAAACCAAGATAACCATGCATCCATGAAACTAAATACAACTGTAAAACTCTTTAATTGCAGATATTGACATATCTCTCAATCGTTCTTTAGGCCACTCCTTTTTGGGTTCGGAAAATGTGGCTTCATCACCAAGGGGTCTCCGAGTTGGAGGAACAACAAATGATCTATCATCCAGAATATGTTTCTCTTCCATCCAGACACCTTGATCACCACCCCGGAGTTTTAGCACAGAACGGGAACTACCCATCTGAGAGCTTGGGGAAGCTAACATATTCGGCAATCTAGGACGAAAACTAGAATATTGCTGCCTCCTCCTTCTAGTAGCTTGCGCCTCCTCAATGCTTTTTGGACCTTCAAATGTCCTCTGCTGCCACTTATTATTTCTCAAATCAATGGTGCCCTTTAGCAAACACCTCACTGTAGAAGACAACTTCATGTTGTTTGATAATTTGTCCATCACATTGAAATAGGAATCAATATACTCTCTTGCTTTTGGATGATCAATCATTTCTCCGACTGTGATCATCAATGTGCACAGAGCTTCAATGTCTTCCTCATCCGGATTTTGATACTGACACAACAATTTCTTTACGCACTCATGCATTATTCTCTCAGTCAACAATCTCTTCTTGTATAATTCTCCTATAAACCTGACATTACCCAAAAATCTTCTCCATCTCGCGTTTCTTGACTTCACTGAATCCTCTGCTATACCTTTTTCAGCTTCTTCCTTCTCTCTTTCTCGTCTCTCAAACTCTTCTTGACACATGTTCACGAGTAATTTCCTAAACGTAATTTTGCAATTTTCATCACTCAGATCAGGCAAAGTCGCAGCGAGATGAGAGCACAAATTGCCATACACCTCGCAGGAAGCCGGCTCCATCAGAGCCATGTGATATATTTGTGAAACCACACTGCTTAAAATGGTAGCAGCATTCAACCGTAGCTCAAGGCGGCCGATGGCGCTGGCTTGATCCGCAAGAGGAGGTTGAACTATTTGCGAATCCCTTTAGCGCGCCGGCGTTGGGCGGTTTCTCCTGGATGCGCGCGAGGCTAAAAACTTGGTGCAGAGTCTGTGGTTTGCGATTCCCAACTGAATGTTTGATTTCTTGCTTTAGTCCGCTCTGGAAGCTGGAAATCAGGTAGGCTTCCGAGAGTTCAAAATTCATTTTCGACATCGAGTCAATCAATTCCTCAAACTTCTCCTGGTACTCTGCCACAGTAGTAGTTTGTTTCAAATTATGGAACTCCCCAACAACGTCTCGGTTAGAATCAACTGACATTACAGGCTCAGCTGCAGCTGATTCTCCCCTGGCCAAAACTTCAAGCGGATCGGTTATCATCTTCGAAACTCTTGTTCCGACGTATAGATCTATAGATGGTTGCACTCTGTTTATCTCACCTCTTGAATTCTCAAAAGTCAAAACATCTGTCTGAAAACCATGTAAAGTTATGGCTTCAAAGCTTACTGTCCCTGAAATGAGTGGAATCAAGTTAGCATCAGCTAATTTGGTGGAGGTTACGAGGAAATTGTTGAAACAGCATGAGCTAATTTCGGAAGAAGCCGAAGAAGAGAAATTTAATGAATGGGATGGGAAGAGTTTGAGAATGGAACTATGGAAACTGCGAGAAAGTAAAGAAATGAAGATGATGAAGGCTGAAGGAAAAGTTAAAGCCTGTGGGGGAAGAGTTTGGACTTCGGACTAGTCCTATTGTCCTACTGCTGTGTTTTTCACTGAGTGCTTTATTTTCATATGTTTTTTAAGTTTCTTACAAATAGTTTGCATTTTCAATATATATTTTCGTATTCTTTAAAAAAAAAAAAACCAAACAAAAAACAAAAAACAAAAACATTCACTAAGAAAGTCTCCTGACCTTGCATTGGTATAAAACACACCTTGAAAATGTTACTTTACATTTTCTATTGAGTATAGTGTTTTTGTAGTTATCCTAACATTTACATGTCAACTCACATCAACATGTCCAATTTATGTATTTCTAACCAACTTGGAGTTGGGCAGATGTACATAGTCTTACCGTAATAATTATGCAAAAAAGGGTTTTACAACCCAAGGTACGTTACCTTATTTAAGTATTGATTTACTGCTATTTCGCTGATAGAAAAAAAAACCCTGAAAATTAGTAGAGTCATTTTGATTTAGCTCATTATTAACAAACTCTTCCAACTCCATTTATAATGGACATTTAAGATTTTCTTTTTACAGAAAAAAAAGTCCAAAGTAATTCTAGGAATAATTTGAAATTTTTACCCAAGAGTCATGATTTTTCTCGCGACAGAAAAATTATAATGTAAATAAAAAATAGAAAACTATCATATAAAAAATAATTTGAATGTCCAGTATTCGTGCTCGATCGATTTCTTTACTAAAAGGATTGCGCGCTATTCATTTCATTTCCTTTATCGTTCCTTCTTCCCCATCATTTCTCTCACTTTTGAGTCAGGCAGCCGCACTAAGTGTTAGTGAGTGGGATCCCATTCCGCTTTTGAGAAAACGTAACCTATAATTCCAGGTCTTATAATTTCTCCATACTTAGTCTTGAAGAAAAGCAACACGATCGTACGAGTAACCAATAAAAGTAGCTTCAATCACTCATAAAGCTATTTAATTAGGCGATGGATTTTTGAAGCCACATACTTTAATACTTAAGCCACCAATTTTTAGAAATTTCGATTTTGCCCCTGTCATTTTTTCCAAAGTTGAGAGAGAAAGAAATGAGTTACTCAGAGGTAAAATAAAAAAAACCGAAAAATTGGACCGAACCGAGCAATATACGCGTTTCGGTTGAACTAAGAACGAGCAATATACCCGTTCGATTTTGAAGAAAAACGCATATATTGCCCGTCCGAACCGAAACCGGTTCGGACGCGCAATATACACGCCCCGGTTGAACCAAGAACGCGCAAGAAACGCGTTCGCCTTCCCGCCCGGACGAGCGACCCAAGCGTCCGCCTTCACGCCCGGACGAGCGACCCACGCCTTCCGGTTAAGGCTTGAACGCATTCCTTGCCCGTCCTTGGTTCAACCGGAACAGGTATATTGCCCGGTTCGAACCAAGCTGGAACGGGTATCTTGCCCATTTTGTTTTTTTTTTTCGTTTAATTATTTTTTTATTTTTATTTTTATCTTTTTTTGTCATTATATTATTTTATAATTCTTAGTTGATTATTTGTTTAGTAAGTTAGTTTAGTTTTTAATTGGAGTAGTTTTTTTGAATTAGTTATGTTAACAATTAATTTAGTAATTAGTTAAATTTAATTTAGTTTGTTTTATTTTAACTATTTAATTAGGAATTATATTTTTAATTATATATGCGAATATCTTACTATATTAGAAACAAAAACCACACTTAAGAGAAAGTACCACCATTTGCCATGTGGCATTTTCACATCATATTTTTAAAATAAATTTTTATTTCCACATCTCCTAAACTTAAAAGGCAAATACAGTCCAAATTCATTTCCACCTCCTATTTCGTCAAAAAAAAAAAAAAACAACGGGTTCATATAAAACCCAAATCCTCATCCCCATCTGCACAGCAATCGACTCCTTAATCAATCCCTTCTCCACAATTAAAAAAAAAAAATTTCTCATCAATCATTAATTGAGAATATATGGTGAAATATACTCCTTTCATATTAGCATGTTCCATCTTTTCATTAGTGATGATCAATTACATCTAATCGGATAAAATTACAACTTCAAAAAATATTCTCTTTACCTCTCTATATAAACACAAAGGGAAAAAAAAATTCTCATTGATCTTGCTTCGGCCGTTGCGGTGTTGCCATTACAGGTATTAAAATTTAAATGATTTTATTTCCACAGATCATTGATTTGGCTTTTATTATTTTTTATTTTTCCCGTTCAAGAATACTGTATTACTATTATTTTTATGTGTCCATCCGTTACAGCTACCGTAGCCGTTGTCAGGTAGTATGATGTGATTTCTTATTTAGTTAGTTAGCCTAGAATTTTTGTATGATTTTAGTTATGTTTAGATTGAATTGATTGATTGGGTTTTTGTTACAAAGTATAGTTTTTTAAATTTATTTTTTATGTTTTATTCAATTAGAGTGGTTTTCTTTTTTAAATTGTGGAGTCTCAGGTTTTTTTTCGTATATGGCCAGTTATGAAGTGTGTTTTTTCTTTATTTAATTGCTTTAGATTTTGTTTCATACTCCCAGTTGACCAATTATTATTATTATTATTATTATTATTATTATTATTATTATTATTTTATTTACAAATGAAGCACATTTTTTTTTGTGTTCGGGGTTTCAAGAATATATTCTTTTGGATTTGGTTTTTGGATTTTTTTAGTTCCTCATCATATAAATAAATCAGGTCGCTTCTTTTAACTAATTTATGGGAAAACCTTTTATGAATTTGAGGTAGAAAGGGAAGGAATGATGTTTCTACGTTTATTTGTGTTTTTATACATCATTTTTACCTACAGAAAAAAAATAAAAATTCACAAATTTTAATGGACTATCTTTTACTTTTGTTTTATTTGTCATGGTGATGTGAGTTCTTTTTTGCTATATCTTGAAATCTATGCAAATTTACATTATTTTCATTCTCATATTTGTGATCAATCAGTTTCAACAATTAACCAGTTTCAAAATGATATTTTTGATATTTTACTACTTATAAACTTTTGGAAGAAATAGTTCCAACAATTAAGCGTATACCATTTGGAGGAAGCTAACTTCAAAGCTATTATAAATCTCCAAAACTAAGTATTGATTTGGCACAACCAATGGAGAACATCAATAAATTATCTAACTAATATTTAAACTTATTAGGATGCTTTTATATTTTGTTTAGCATTTACTTCAAGACATATATTTGACCAAGTTTATTTATATTTAAGAAGTAACACTTATAAAATATTTCTAAAATCTTCAAACATTTCTAAAACGTACCGGGCCAAATACAATTTATTTTTATGCCAAATACAAACATCACACTTATAAAATATTTCTAAAATTCTTAATATTTCTAAAATATATCGGGCCAAATAGAAAATATATTTTTTTCCAGATACAATATTTCTAAGATTTACAGATATATTGGGTCAGGGTCGCGCATTGCGCGACCAGACATCACTAGTAATTATATATGCGAATATAATTACATTTAATTATATATGCAAATATAATTAATTATAGTAATTTAAGTTTAGTTATAGGGAAATTTAATGTAATATATTTTTTTGATTAGTTAAATATTTGTTTTCTTATAATAATTTTGTTTAATGTAATTGTATGTTTTGTAATTATATATTAAAATTGTATATATATTATTTGTTTAATTGTAAATTATGTTTAATTTAGTTTATTATGGTGCAATATTTTTTTTTGTAGGATTCTTAGTTGATTATTTGTTTAGTAAGATAGTTTAATTTTTAATTAGATTAGTTTTTTTGGAGTTAGTTATGTTAACAATAAATTTATTTAATTTAGTTTGCTTTATTTTAACTATTTAATTAGGAATTATATTTTTATATATATGCGAATATATTTAATTATAGTAATTTAAGTTTAGTTATAGGGAAATTTGATTTAATATATTTTTTTGATTAGTTATATATTTTTTGTATAATAATTGGGTGCAGACCGTGTCAAATAATGGCTGCGATTGAGAGGAAATTTCCAGATGAAAAAGTTAACAGCCGGTAGGTCTACAATTACAAGAAGAAATTGCGTAGTCAGGGGTTCCCGGTCTTGGGTGACTCGAGTGCCATGGATGTCGCGACGAAGACACTATCGGTGGCAAAGTGTCGTCGTTACATCATCATGACAGATTGCAATCAGGAGACAGGTGTGCTGACTCGTGTTTTTTTTTTGCACATCCTGATGCTGTCAATTTATTTTGCACTTATTTCTGGGTCGTCGGGATATACGCAACATACAAGACGAACAAGTATAAAATGCCATTGGTTGAGTTTATTGGGATGACACCGTGCAACCAGAACTTCTTGATTGCATACGCCCTCTTGAGTGACGAGATTGGTGAAAGCTATTATTGGGCTTTGAGACAGTTTAGGGATTTGCTTCCAGGTCATCTGTCTCCGGCTGTTATTATTACTGATCGGGAACCGGGGTTGATGGCGCCGCTAGGTTTGGTTTTTCCAGATTCATGCCACTTGTTGTGTGTTTGGCATGTTTATGATAATGTAAAGCGACATCTCAACAAGGAATTGAAATTTGATGTCAAGGTTGCAAATGGTTTTGCATATGGGTTTTGGAAAGACGTTGTGGAAGCTAATAATCAAGATAACTATAATAAAGTTGTTGCCGTAATAAACCGTCATTGGCACAATTTTCCGAGAGTTCTTAATTATATCCATAAGACATGGCTAGTGGTTGACTACAAATTCATCAAGGAATGGACGAATGCTCTGTTTCATATGGGCAACACTACTACATGTAGGGTCGAGAGCGCGCACAAGCATCGCTGGAAACATCCACTGCGTCGCTGGATACACTTTGGGCTAAGGTGCACTTGGAAATTCAGAGTCAGCTAACTGAAATACGCTAAATTCTATTCCATTATATTCTATTTATTATATATTTAGTATTTTTTTATAAAATAGTATTTTTGGCATTTTTCCTAGAATGTTTTACAGTAAGTGGTTACAAAAAATATAATCCTACATTCAGGTACAAACTAGAATACTCGAGACAGAAAATTGGCACCCATTATTGCGGTTTTCCACTGAACCGCTTGAACTGTCAAGTTTCATATACATGTTTGAAAGAACTGAACACTGAGTGGTCGAAGGTGCAAGAGTGGAAAGAAGAAACGAATGACAGATGTGATCATGTGGTTTACTAGACTTGTCGAATTCCATGTGCATGCGCCCTCAAAAAGGCTGCAGATGCGGGCACATCGATAACTCTTAAGCATATTCACCCATTCTGGGCGACCCTTAATATCGGTGAACAGGCTGCTACTTGTGGTTCGAGCGATGTGGATGACGATGTCTTTTATACCAGAGAGTTGATGGAAGAGCTGAACGAGTGTCCTAAGGCAGTACGATGCACGGTAAATAGGGCTCTCCACGATATTATGCATCCAGACCAGTGTGGGTTCAAACAACCCGAGGAGGTCAAGAGAAGGAAGGGGCGGCCGAAGGGGGCTAAATCAAAGATAAAAGCAACACCTAATGTGTGGGATTACAGGGATGACACTCAAGGAAAGTCGACCACAGTGACCAGCGATTCAAGTAAGAAGCGCCCCTCGTCTTCAGGTGGTCGTACAGATGCATCCACAGGTGCATGTTAAGAAGTTATTGTTGCGTCCATAATTTATTTATTAACAATTGTTCCAAGTAACATTTGTTCCGTGTAATTTACAGATATTTTTGCAAGTGATATTTCACAGTATGGTTGCTACGACCTCATTCTATGGCCCATTCAGACGTATATTACCAGTTACCTTGATGTTGGTGCCGATGGCAATTGTGGATTTTGCGTCGTTGCGAGTAACAAGTATTTGTGCCAGGACAAGTGGGCGATGGCGAGAGAGGCAATTGCGGCCGAGCTAGAACAGAATTGACATCTGTACAGGAGAATTTACGGGTATACCTACTTTTCATTTTCTATGTTATGATGTTTGCTGAACTTGGCAGTATTTTGCACAAATAATTACACATGTAAATGCAGGACCACCATGCAGGAAGAAGTCAGTCGTATATGGTGGAGTGGATTAGGTTTCGCACCTGAGCGCCATTGGATGTGTACGACGGACTTGTTTGTAGTTGCGACTATGAACAATGTAATTGTGTACTATTACGATGTAGGAGAAGAGAACCAATTGCTAAACACCTCATGTTGGACTATACTACCTGTCACTGCACGCGGTGAGGCAACTTGTCCGGCATATCAGATTGGGGTATGTCACCTTGGTATTTACAAGCACTTCATTCGGATAAATTTGGATGGTGACTTTCCATTTCCACCGATCGATAATCGGTGGACTAAGGAACATGATCCTAGCGTTGCTGGTTGGGAATTACCACTTCTTCCTAGAATTCAAGAATGGTATAGGTTGGTCCCTTTCAATCCTCGACGACCCGTGAATGATGATAATGATTCCATTGATCTTAGTTTCTTAGATTAGATCCATGTTGGTTTGTTTGTTGTGATGATGATAATGGTATTATCTAGTATCTAATTTGTTTGTTTTTTATGTAGTGTGCAATAACACACCACAGGGACATAAAAAAAAAAAAAACATACCACACAGACACCAAATAAGCTAACTAATATCTAACACACAATTTCATCATATCAAAAAAACTAAATCCAGTCCAAGAAACAAAAAAATAAACAAATTCAGTCCAATAATACGACAATGACAATGTTCATGGCGCCTTGTAATAACGGACCATCGTGTCCTGCAGCTTCTAATCATATTCAGCAGCTAGCTCGCGATCGGACACTTTGACCTTTATAATCAGGTCCGTAGTGATTTTCCTCAATTCATTCATCCACTAAAAAAAAAAAACAAAAAAGGTTAAACTATATATAACATAGAAATGTATATATATATATAAAAAATATAATTAGAAATACAACTTACATAATCCTGACTACTCTTAGCTGGTATAGAGTCTGAAGATGGGTCAGTTGTTGGCAGCAGAAATGGATGTGAATACTGCCTGTGCCATTCAAGGTACCCATCCTCACACTCTCCTATGATGTCACTGAAATTGAAGCGCCTCAAACCCAAATTAATACACGCCGACTCCGGGAATCTCCTCCAAGTACTGAGTGTGTCAACAGTAGAATGCTCTACAAAGTACTGGGTAGTCCTAGGTCCTCGGAATGCATCATCAGGGGACATGGGCGAACAAGGAATATTTTGTACGTAGCCAATCTGACGTATACATCTGTCCAGCATGTATGGCTCTTGCAAGGTCCTATACATTATCCACCCACTATAGATAGTCCTTGGAACTATTCCTTGTTAGACAGGTCCAAATGGCTCCCACTTTACCTGCAAAATATTATTTAGATTATTTATAAATATAAATTTCGACAAAAAAATGAAATACAGTCAAATCAAAAAATATGTACCTCTAACTCGGTGAAACCGTCGAGACGCTTCCTAACTTGACGAAGATGATCTGGCACAGAAGTCGGCCCCGCATAAGATGGTAGTATCCAGTCATGTACTCTGGGCCTGTCATTACCCCTACGGGTAACTCGCCCTCCCTGGGGGCAGAAACACGGGAAATACTCATAAATCCAGGTCTGCAGTAGGGTCAAATAACCACTAAACTGAGTGCACCTTACCCTACTAGCCATCCCTAACTGACGGTATAGGAACGTAAGCGTAGCAGAGCCCCACGAGTATGAACTCATATTTTTTATCCCAGCCATCAGCTCATGTACAAGTGAAACACTGCACCTCCCACCACTCTTGCCCATGAACAATGTCGAGGCTAACAATACCCACAAGAAAGCAGAGGCTTGGGTATTCTCGTCTGCTTTCTAGCATCGCTCAAGGATGAACCAATTAGAGACACCTCCATGACTACATTTGTAACCATTCAAATCTAGTCCAAGTATCCCTGCTGCATGTGCCCTCAACACATCTGTCTCGGGCGTACCTAACACCAACTCTCCATCAACCCCAATGCCCAAAATATGATAAACATCATGCATCATGATGCTCATCTCCCCGAACGGCAAATGAAATGAGTTTGTGTCCGGCTGCCACCTCTCAACAAATGCACTTACTAAGCCAAGATCAATATCTTCATACGAGGTATGAAGAAGGTGACCCAATCCAGTCCCCCGAATCTTGCCTTTCACTACATCATCCATATCCTTATACCACAACTTTAACTTATTCAGAATCTTTTCGCCTTTAAATATATTCAGGATCGGTCTATGATATCAATGCCAGAAATTATAAGCAATATGCCCAAGAAAGCTAGGAATCACGCTACCATCTTTCGGCCCACCAGGTACTTCATCTGTCACTAGCCATATAGTCAGATCAATTTCATCAGAAACTCTCGACTGGCTGCTGCCGCCTGTACCATGAATGAGTAAACCAAATATTATTTATTATATTTTATACACATCCAACAATTCAATAAATGTAATTGAAACAAATTAATTAAAAATAATTACATAATTTTAAATAATTACAAAAATTAAATATAAATATTTGGTACCTGATGATGCAATAGTGGTAACTGGATGTGTAGATACTCCGGTGGATCCGGGACCTAGGGGAGGGCACCCGGGATCAATGAGAGGGGGATGACGTGTAGATACTCCAGTGGAGACGGGACCTCCACGAGGGGGCACAGGATCAATGCGGGGGAGGTGCTGAGCGGGCGGGAGGGACGAGGCCGACTACCGGTGGATGTACCCTGTGGGAATTGAACAACACCAGGGAAAGAGGAACTATAATGTGGACTGCGCTACTGACCACTCATAGGAGAAGGGATAGGGTTAGGGGAAGAGGGTAAACCTCCAGGACCAGGCCGTGGACAACCAAACAGGGGAGGAGGATAACTACTAAGATTGTACATAGGCCGATCTCTGTGATGCGCATCCATCCTAACATTGTCCTGCACATCATCCTCATCAAACACATTCTCCTCATCCTCATCCTCCTCTTCCAGGTCGTTCTCAGAATACTCGGGTACATTAATCGGCTGACTAGACCGAGTCTCAAACGGTACACCACCCATATTAACTTGAGTCATTTTCATTCGCTTCTTTAACTCTTTTTCCTCTTTTTTCTTCCGACGACTCATCGTCAGATAACGCGCACGAACCTTACGCTTACTAATATCTTCAGTATCACTAGTATCACTATCATCATCATCTTCACAATAAACCTATAAACAAAATTTTAATCATCATCATCATATCTTCCTAGTCTAAACAAATAATTATACAAATTTCCTAAATCCTAAATAGTTTAATAATTAAGTACACTTCGATTAAACGCACAATTCATATAACAAAGTAATTATATACATAATATAAAACTAATTATCATACAATAATTAACTAAACAAATTAATCTATTGTACTTAATTATAAACTAAAATACTTTACCAAATTTTTTATTAAATTAATATTAATTATAATTAATCCAATATACTCAACTAATTTACAAAATATTTATATTAATTTATTTAATCATAAACTACATTACAAACAAATTAGATTAACTTCTATTATTAATTATTTTAATCCAATAAACTAAATTAATTTACAAACTATTTAAATCAATTTATTTACACAATTTAACTAAATAACAAACTAATAACCAATTAATATAAATCACAAACTTTTTTAAACTAATTACATTAAATATATTAAATTATAATCTAATTACATTAAATTATAAACTAAATTACTAAATTAAATTTATTACACATTAGAAAATTAAATTAAATTCAAAATTAGTAATGAATTAAAACTTACAAAAATTAAAAATTAAATTAAATTAAAAAAATTCTGACCGGTCCAGTTCTCCGACCGGACCGGATCTTGGACCGGGCTTATCCCGGTCCAAGCTGGCCGCCGGAATGGCCAAGGAAGCCAACACTTGGGTTTCCAAGTGTCTCGAAGGGGAATCGACATAGACCCATCCAACGTAACGGCAATCCTAGAGCTTAAGGAACTTAACACTGCTAAAGAGGTGCAGAATCTTACCGGGTTACTGGTCGCTGTGAATCGCTTCCTCTCGTGGGCCTCAGAGCATTGCTTACCTTTCTTTAGTGTGTTGAAGAAAGCAGAAAAATTCTCGTGGGGGGATGACTGCGCAAGACGTTTACAGAATTAAAGGAACATTTGTTGAAATTGCCCACCCTGGCCACTCCCAAGCATGGGGAACCCCTCCCGATATACTTGTCAGCAAGCAACTCAACTATCAGCACAGTCCTTGTGCTAGAGGACGATAGCCGCCAAGTGCCGATATACTACATCAGCAAGGTCTTACAAAGAGGAGAAAGTCGTTACACTAGCATTGAGAAACTAGTCCTTTGTCTGGTCATGGCCGCACAAAATTTGCGGCCGTACTTCCAGGGCCACACCATCAGAGTAACGACAAATAAGCCGATCCAGCAGGTGTTGCGAGAGCCCAAAACATCGGGACGCATGACCAAATGGGCAGTCGAGTTAGGCGAGCACGACATTGAATTTGTCCCTGTACGCGCGATCAAAGGACAGGCGCTCACCGATTTTCTTGCTGAAATGCCAACGCAATCATCAAAGGCTCCGCAGGCGACAGATGTACCCCCGCAGCCAGAGGCTGCATCCCCAAACAAGTGGACCTTATTCATAGATGGATCCTCCGCCAACAGCGGTGCAGGAGCAGGCCTCATCCTGGTCAACCCAAAAGGTGGTGAACACACTTACGTGCTGCGGTTCGACTTTTCGCTGACTAACAATGCCGCTGAATATGAAGCTTCAATTGCCAGCCTCACGATCGCAAGAAAGCTTGGAGCTACGCGGGTGGCCGCCTTCAGCGATTCTAGTGTCGTGGTTAACCAAATTCGCGGAGGATATGCGGCCAGAGGAATACAACTGGCCAAATACCGAGACCTGGTGCGACGGCTCCGGGACGCGTTCGAAGAATACACTGTCTTATACGTGCGATGAGCCCTTAACAAGAGGCTGGACGCACTCAGCAAGCTGGCGTCCTCGATGTTCGTGCACCTGACACAAAGAGTCCTAGTGGAGGTCCTCTCGTGACTAAGCATTGAAGTAGAGATGGTGAATCAAGTCGACATGGCGGCCGATTCATGGATGACTCCCATAGTGCAGTATCTCATCGATGACACACTACCGGCAGGTAAAAATCAAGGCAGAAAAGTGCGATAGCAGGCCCTAAAGTTCCTGTTAAAAGATGATATCCTCTACAAACAAGGATACCTGCAACCATAGCTGCGAGGTGTCGACCCAGAAGAGTCATAGCTCTTGATGTAGAGTGTACATGAGGGGGCCTATGGCGCCCATATCGGGTCACGCAACTTGGCCAAGAAGATTCTACGCATAGGCTACTTCTGGCCGACCCTCGCTCAAGATTGCTACAACTATGTACTCAAGTGTCTGCAATGCCAACGGTTTGCCCCTATCATCCAGGTACCACATCACAACTTGATTTCGATCTTTATAAGTGGGGCACAGACATTGTAGGTCCGTTTGAAAAGGGGACGGGCCAGGCATGCTGGTTGTTGGTCGCTGTTGATTATTTCACCAAGTGGGTGGAAGTCGAGCTAATTGCATCGCAGACTAGAACAGCGGTTGCAAAATTCTTCTGGAAGAACATAGTTTGCAGATTTGGCATCTCCCATACGATTGTTTCTAATAATGGCACCCAATTCGACTCGGGATTTTTCAAAAGATGGTGTGAAGACTTCAGGATAGAAAGGAAATTTGGGTCAGTCGCCCATCCACAAGCAAATGGTCGCGCAGAGAATGTTAATCGCACCATAATGCAGGGTATCAGGAAAAGGCTGAAAGCGTAGGACGCAAGTTGGCTGGAGGCCATACTTCATGTCCCGTGGGCATAGCGTACAACCCCCCAAAAGGCGACGGGTCGGACGCCGTTCTCCTTAGTATACGGGTCGGAAGCAGTGATCCTGGTGGAGATAGAGGTACCATCTTACCACGCTCTGCACTACCTAGAAGAGGAGAATGAAGACGAACTCTACGGCGCCTTAGTTTTGGTAGAAGAAGTACGCGAAGCATCATACATCCAAGACGCGAGGTACAAGGAACAAGTCGCTTCTCATTACAACTGCAAAGTCCATGCAAGAGAATTAGAGGTGGGCGACCTAGTTCTCAGAAAGAACGATGCCAGCCACGCTGAGCCTGAAGGCATGTTAGCACCCACTTGGGAGGGGCCCTATTGCATGATCGCGGCCTCCCCCTCTGGCGGGTATAAGGTGCCGACCACTCAGGAGACCCCCCCTCCCCCCCGCACCATACCCCGATGGTGGAACATTTAACACCTCAAGAAGTACAATTATTAGCCCGTGTGGCACCAATGGTCTAATTCTTCCTTTTTAGCATTGTTTCAAAATTAACTTATTTCTATTTTCTGATTATCTATCTTAAACCGTCTATAAGTTAAATCTGCTAAATTGAGTATGCTTTTGTTTTGTAACATTGTGCAAATCTTTTAGTCTACATGCAGTGACCACATGTCGCATTTTGACGCTCAGCCATGGGCGGCGCATGGAAGCGCGAGGCGACCCTACGGGGGACCTTGCCCACCCAATCCCGACATCGACAGCTGATCAATCACAAACGACATTGCGTCGTGTCCCGTTGCCCCGATGTGGGTGACGCGGTTACAAAACTCGGATCGCCTCTATGGGATGCCCCGTCCGACCTAACCTAGAGATGGGCAGCCGATTAGCGTAAATTGTGACACCGCGTCATGTCCCGTTGCCCGGACGCGGGTGACGCGGTTGTGAAACCCAGGATCTACTCTATGTGACGTCCGGTCTGACCCCACCCAGACATGGGCAGCCGATCAGTACAAACTGCAGCGTCGCGCGGCGTTCTTTTGCCCTGATGCAGGCGACGCGATCACAAAACCTAGGTACAATCACTATATACCCCTATGTAACAACTGCAACCACCGCAACCGCTGTGGTCGCTCCCAACAGTTTTGCTCAAAGTAACGAATGAGTAAACTTAATAGAGGAGAGATAATCAAATACTCACCAATAACGGCGGATGCAATTACCAAAAAATAAAAAAAAAACCTAAGCCCACAACAGAAAGGCGACGCTAGTTGCTTGTGATCTATGTTTAAACATCGCGTGGTGGCACTTCTGGGAAGATAAGCATGCTAGGATCGACCACCCCACCTGCTTCTGCCACATGATCTGCCAGTGTCCATAGGGTTGCTTGCAGGCGCTGAGCAAACACCCTGTAGCGAGCCAGGATTTGCAAATCCCTTTGCCAATGCGCAGTGACGGCGGCGTAAACCCTCTTCAAACCCTCCAACGAAGCCTCAAGGTAGGATCGTGGTAGTGTGGCTTCTAGTCCAGTAGGGATGAACTAACACCTAGTACGGGGAACCAATTTCTTTAGTTCGCGAATAGTCTCTTCCAGCTCTTCAATACGTTCATCCTGTTGATCCCATATCTGGATGAAGTCGTGCTAATGCCCTTCCCATAGGTGCTCGTTCCTCCAATAGTCAGACTAACAACGCCTCAACACCAAGCGCAATGCCTGAAACTCCACTGCATACTTGGATCGCACTACTTCTCGTAGTTGCTTTTCCTTCTCCTCCCGATCCTGGTTCCCGTTGCATGGCGGGTTTTGAAGTCCAGACACAATCCGATGATATAACAATGAGCTCTCTGATTCAAAGCTGGGATCTAAGATTTTCACTATCACCATCCCATTCCCTGCTATAGCCACAGCACTTGACCTTCCCCGGTGCCAAGTGCCCATGAGGGGATGGACACACCCGCGACCCCCACATCACCCACAGGAAGGGGGGAATGAACTAACACCACATCAGGAACAAGTGTGCTGTCATCACCCCAAACGTCAATAAAGCCTCCTTGAGACGAGTGGCATCCTGCATTCAAGAAGGATCACAAACAAATCATACATCAAGAAAAGCAAACAAAGGGGAAAGACTACAGAAGCAATCTAAATTCTCGGAAAAACCAAAAATATCATTCAACAGGGGCGTAGAAAGCTATGATGTCTATGTCAATATCTG